ATTTCGTTCTGTTCCGGTGACGGCGAATCATTTTCGGCTTGGTATCTGAGCTAGATTTCCTTGGATTCAAGCTTTTGAAATGACGCAGACACGTTCTCAAAAAGATCTAGAGGAGCGAAGGCGCTCAGGGGAAGTTTCTGTGGGTAGACTGGACATCGTGAAGTCAACTCTTTCCGATCACAGTCGGCAAATGAATGATATAAAGTGCTCGTTACTGGAAATTTAGAGTCAAATTGTGCAAATTAATGCTCAGTACAAAGATATTATGGCTGCTATCATTGGCAAGGGCGGGGTCATGGGTACTAATCCATCGGACAGATCCAAGAATCTGACGGTTAATCAGACAATGGAAACTCCAATTGACATCCAGGTGACACCAAAGCTGCTGATAATCAGAAGATTGACAATCAGAAGGAGAAGAGGCCTCCTCGGTATACTCAGCCAAGAATTGAACTGCCAGTATTTGTGGGTGACAAACCAAGGGATTGGATTCGAAAGTGTGAAAAGTTCTTTATACTTCATCAAGTATCAGAAGAACAGAAAGTAGACTACGTGGAGCTGTATTTGGTAGACCTAGCAGATTCTTGGCCTTAGGGCATTCAAAGTAATGAATCTTCAGCCTTCTTGGGCACAATTCAAGACTGAATTGCTGAAAAGATTCAGGTTCTTGAAGATTGGACCCTATAGAGGAGTTCAACAAGCTTATTCAAACTGGATCTGTGCAAGAGTACCAAAACAAGTTTGAGGAGTTGCGTTGTAGAATGTTGATGCAAGATCCTCATTTGGTAGAGAGCTACTTCATTTCAAGTTTCATCAGTGGACTGAAGGAGGAGTTAAAGGCAACGACACTGAGGATGTTTAAGCCAACCACACTGACTGGATTGTACAAGATTGCTCACCTGTAGGAGAGACAGCTGGAAATACAGATGAAGAAACAGAAAAACTCTTCTAATCAGGTAACCAGATTTTTTTCCAAGAGTTAATAGGGTTGTGAATGTGCCTAGAACTGCTAATAAGTCTAATAAACCGATCAACCCTGATTTTGTCAAGAGACTAAGTCCAGAAGAATACCAATATAGAACGAATAATCATCTTTGCCATAAATGTGGTGAAAAATTTGGTGCTGGATACTCTTGTAAATATAGACAGTTTAATGTCATGATAGTCACTGATGATGATGGTGAGAATTTTGAGAAGGATGTTCTAAATGTGCCTGAGTTTGTTGATGATGATGGAATAGATTTGAATGATCTGACAATTGAGGAAGGCTTCCTACATGTTCTTTCAGTAGATAATGTGAAACAGACTATTGTGATACTGGGAAAAATAGATGGAAGGGTAATCAAGATTTTGATTGATACTGGGAGTACGGATAGTTTTGTGGATGTGGCATTGGTTAAGGAAATGAAGCTGCATTTTGAAGAAGGTGAAATGTATACTATAACTGTTGGAAATGGCAATAAGATCTCTGGAAAGTTGTTTTGTCCAAGGTTGCATTGGAACATTAAGGAGTACAAATTCAGTTATGATTTGAAAATCATAAAGTTAGGTGGTTATGATATGATGTTGGGGTGGATTGGATGAAGCATTTTAGTCCAATTACGTTTGATTTTGATGAGATGCATGTGAGGCTTAGCAGGTATGGCAGTCAGTATATTCTGCAAGGAAGCGGCAGTGTTGCAAGCATGAAGTTAGTAAGGGATAAAGAAAGTCAGGAAATGTACCAAGAGAGGAAAGTTGTTTTCCATGCAATTGAATTCATTAGAAGATTCAACCTCTTCCATGGTGGAAATACCATTTCCAGAAGCTGTTAGCAAGCTGTTGGACAAATATTACATAGTTTTTACCACTCCTGAATCATTGTCTCCTAGCAAGGATGTTGATCATTATATTCCATTGAAGATGGGTTCACAACCATTCAAGATACCACCTTATAGATTCCCACATGCGCATAAGGCAGAGATTGAAAAATAGGTGGCTGAACTCTTAGCACAAGGAATTGCTCAAACTAGTAAAAGTCCAAATGCATCACCAATTATCGTTGTTAAGAAGAAAGGTGGCAGTTGGAGGATGTGTGTAGACTACAGCAAACTTAATGAGATGACTGTTAAAGATAGGTTTCCAATTGCTATCATTGAAGAGCTGTTGGATGAGCTAAATGGAGCCACTGTGTTCTCTAAGTTGGATTTAAAGTCTGGATACCACCAGATATTGGTAAACAAAGAAGATGTGTATAAAACAGCTTTCCAAACTCACAGTGGGCATTATGAATTTCTGGTCATGCCATTTGGGCTTACAAATGCACCTGCCACTTTTCAGTCATTAATTAATCAGGTTTTTCAACAGTTATTGAGGAAGTTTGTACTGGTATTCTTTGATGATATACTGATTTACAGCAAATCCCTAGAAGACCATTTGCTACATCTAAAACAAGTTTTGCAACTACTTCAGCAACATCAGCTCTATGCAAAAAGGAGTAAATGTGAGTTTGCTAAGTCTTCTGTTGATTACTTGGGCCACACCATTTCTGAAAATAGAGCTAGTATGGATGCTCAAAAGATGAAATGCATTACTGATTGGGCACTTCTTGATAATGTGAAGGGTTTAAAAGGGTTCTTGGGGCTTACTGGGTATTATAGAAGATTTATCAAAGATTATGTTGTTATTTGCAAACCTCTTACCAACTTATTGAAGAAGAATGCTTTTGAATGGAATGATTAAGTACAAATGGCTTTTCAGCAGTTGAAGCAATGTATGGTTTCTACTCCAGTTCTCAGGCTGCCTAATTTTTCTCAGCCATTTATAGTTGAAACTGATGTTAGTGACAATGGTATGGGGGTAGTTCTCATGCAGAATGGTCAACCTATGACTTACATAAGCAAGGCTTTCAATCAGAAGAACAAGGGTTTGTCATTCTATGAAAAGGAATTGATGGAATTAGTGTTAGCTGTGACCAGATGGAAATACTATCTACTCGGTGTGCATTTCATCATTAAGACTGACCATCAGTTCTTAAAATACTTGCTTGAGCAAAAAGTCATCAACAACTCTAATCAGCATAAGTGGCTGACTAAATTGCTGGGGTATGGTTATGAGATACGATACAAGAAGAGGTATGAGAATAATGTTGTTGATGCCCTCTCAAGGAGAGTTCATACTGATGACACTGATGACACTCATCAAGGTCAATTTTGTGCTATAATTTCTATACAGCCTGTTTGGATGTAAGAAGTGATTAATAGCTACCAAGGTGATGAGTTTGCCACTGATCTGATTGCCAATATCATGGTTGATTCTCATTACCAAGGTGATTATCAATATGTTCAGGGAGTTTTAAGGAGGAAAGGGAAGATTTATGTTGGGGATCTTTCATTCAAATATAAAAATGAACTACTACAGATGTTTAAAGTAAGCCAATGTGGAGAGTTCAAAGTTGTCATAGTTGCAAATTAACATATATGTAGAACAAGGAGTTTAAATGGTACCATATATTAATGTACAGTACATATACTATTACACTATATTTTAGAATATGCTAATAGGAGTTGTGAATACCTTTGTATTCAGTGAATATAATGCAAGTAGTCTGTAGTAGGCAGAAATCGTGATTTTGGTTACTCATTGCTTTTGCTAATATACTTTACATTTCACCAAAGGAAAAAAAAAAGTACTATCAATTTATCAGCTACTGAAAGAAAAACTATATATATAAAAAAAAAGTAGCAACAAATCTTATTTATTCATTCAAACACAAAAGGGGAGATCGTTGAACTAGAATTACACCCAAAAAAACAAAAAAAAAAAACATAACTCTTACATTAGAATGGATGAAACACTTTCCATTCGCGCCTGAAAATGCACTGTTGTGTGGATTGGGTTCATGCCGATTTTTTGCCATGTACTACTAGTATTTCTTTCCCTTGGACATGGATCCTTGGAGAATACACTTCTTCCACTTATAAAAATTTTGGAGTTTTAGTTGTCTTTCTTACACCACAAGTCTTCTTCGAAAGTCAGGATCAGCATAAGGTAGGTGTTAACCAAATCAAAGGTAAAGAACAATCTTCATCACCTTGAAACCTTGGGAGTACTGTAGTAAATGTCTCATCACTCAAATGAAACACACCAATCTCTTTACGGTTCACATTCCCGCACCCCCAAACATGGAAAGTGTGTTCAAAATATATGCAATTTTGGCGGTTGAAATTGGAAGCACAAGAGGAAGATGTAACTGCATCACCACGTTCAGTAAGAAATATGGAATGATTGTCTTCCAACTTGAGTGTTTCTACCCAACTGAATTCTTCATCGCCACAACATGAGTACCTCTTTTCCTTGGTATTGGCCAGTTTAAAGACTTTAAATTTCAAAGGACTGATATATCTTTTAACCAATAATAAGCCTCCATCGGAAGCTTCCACCAAACAACAATAAGAATGTTCGGAATCATCCTCACCGTGTACAATCTCAACCATGGGAAAAAACTGGTGATCTTCAAGATCACAACTTTTGTAGTCAAACGTAACAAGCCGACTGTTCAACTCCACCGCATACAATAATCCATTGTGAAATATGATGTCCGAGAACAGTTTATCACGGTAAACTACCCAAGACAGTTGGCCTTGTTTTCTCAGGCCTAAGCCGGAAGCAAGTCCATCATCATGTCGAAAGGGGCCAATTGCAGCGACGACAAAATCATTCGGATTTGTTGTAGGATCGCAAGACAAAACTACCCTTTTGTAGAGGGCCGGCTGGGGATTATTAACAGTGCAAGGCATTATGATGTTCTTTCCGGTGAAGGGATTGAAAAGCTGAATTGAATAGCAAGGATAGCCGATATCGATCAACCAACCATGAGAGGAACCTACGTAAATATCATTGCGTTTCAGAGGAACTTTGAATTCACGGCTGCTGTGCACTTTATCTTCCTTGACGTTGTAAAGTTTCGAGAGCTGATATTTGCACGAGCCGCAGCAGTCGCCGCGGCCCATGGAGTCATCATCAAGTGCTTCTCGCCGCCTGGCTCTGTTGGCATTCACTAGAAACAGGAATGGTGCCATTGCAGTTGTACGTAGTTTTGGTTTTTTATTTACCGCTACGGATCGAAACGATTTGCAAACGGCCCGAATCGGACGTAATCAAGAGCATCATTCAACAACTTATCCAGAATCACACCCAGAAGTTCTTCAGGAAGATCAGTCCAATCCATGGTGTTGATTAGAGCAAATTAAGAGAGCAGCCAATCGGGATTGCGTTATTTATAGAGATTTCATGATCGAACCTAAAACAGGAAACCATATGGTTGTTGGTTTATGTTCAAAACCGAATTAATACTTGAATTGGAATTTTTTTATATATTTATAAAAAAGGCTAACAAATAATAGGACAATCTGACAAACATGCATATGAGTGCCAGAGTTGCTATAAACTGTGTAATGAGTCTGTTTAGATAACTTCCCTCCACAAATGTTTAACTTTAAATAAACAAAGAATTTTCTATTTACCCCTAATTGAATACTTTTTTTTCCACATGTACTTCATCCCTTTTATCATATTACCCGTGTACCACATTTTTCATATATTGTGTAGTTTTTTTGTTTTATTCCAATGTGTCAAACTGAAAGTATTCATGCTTCCTGAGGGAGGGAAAAAATCAAATTCGTAGAGCAATTCAATCAAAATTCAGAATCTTCCAAAGAACCGTGACACAACTACATTAAGCCCAAAAAAAAAAAATTAAAATTAAAAACTTTTTGATTTTAACTAAAATAAAGCCCTAAAAACAGCGATATTAACCAAAAATATCTCATTCATAATACGAACTTGCCTTTAAAGTGGAAAAATTAGAAGGCAAATTAACGACAAGTTAATGGAGTAGCAGATTCTGCGTACCTAGAGATGGATGGATAAAAACGCTCGGCAAAGAGAGAGAGCGGCGAGTATTTCACCTCAAGCTCCTGTAAAGAGGAATTTACCCTACAATCAAGAAAAGGATAAAATGACATACTGATTTGAAGTGTATAAGCTTAAGGGGTTTACAGAGCGTGGGCTCCTGTGAAAGCCCAGTCCAATTTCTGATGGTTTAATCTACAAAATTACATTTTGCCTCCTCAAGATTTGGTGAGATTACCAAATAAAATACCTTGAGTTTGGCCAAACTATACTAATTCCTTCTAAATCCATGTGTGTGTATATTGAGTTTGGCAAAACAATATACTAAGGCAACCATTATTGGCGCCTGAACGAAGTCATTATTATGGCCAGATTTAAAAATTGGAAGAAGTGGAACACCACAAACATAAAACAATCGACTACAACACAACTAATGGCTATCTTCAGAGAGATTTAAGGATCGACTTAAGTCAGAATTTTCTGGATATTAGCATACTTCAGTACATCTTTGTATCGCAAATTGTTATCTTACCAACCAGATGTTTGATGCTTCTGTTTAAATTTGTGAAGTCATCATCACACAATAAAGCTACAACAGACAAGACAAATTCTGCAGTTCATCAGTTCACACAAATTTTTTCAGTTCATCAGCACTGGATTCATTTCGTGTTACTATCAACATGTGTAGTTATAAGCATCCTGCAATAGTGCAGTGTCCTTTGCAATGAAGTAACCTGTAGTAATTGATAGCGCGCTCTATCATTTACCACTGATTAACAGTTTTGAAAAAGCAAAGCAAGATTACAATCCAGTGTGATAGACTCTGATCCTAACCCTTGGACATACTGAAAAAAAAAAAAAAAAAAAAGCTGACAAACAAAGTTAAGCTAGTCACCTCAAGGTACCATTACGAAAGCCACCACCACAACCGCCGATATTGAATTTTGTCTCCAAGAAGGACAACTTGGTGTAATCTGGCAATGTCTGAACAGGAGGAAACATGAAGCGTCAAACCTGACTTTAGGGCAATTTTGCTTCTGTCTTCCAATCACTTGACCCAAATCAGACAACTGCACTGTTCAACCTGCACACAAAGAAAATTGGACGTGTATGGAGTTGGAATACAATTAAAATCTTGGATATCGTACACAAAATAAAACGCAAATTTTGAAAAGTGAAGGTTGGGATCCTTGGGGGAAATGCTGAGGAAGGGGGTTATACAAATTACAAAGTCCTGGGTCCAATGCCAAATAAAAGGGTAAGATTAAAATTGGGGCCTCCAATAACAAAAAACCAAGTAGAATTTTCTCTCTGTCGGAATATGTCCGGTGAAAGAAACTTAATAGCAGTGAAATGTACCTGCAGGTGTTAAATATTTTCAGCAATAGTTTGATGCTTGATTGCATATTCACATATAGCACCTGAATAATTCCACATCCAGTAAGTTTTCTGGATGCTCGGAATAAAGGATAACATAGAAACCAATCAAGAGAATAAAGCAGACTAAATAACAGAAGGGGGAAGTAGGAGAAAATTTCAGGTGAATCAAGAGATTGAGTAGAAGACAAGATACAAAGGATTTTACCATCAAGTGCCTTATGGTGTTGGTTAGACGAATGTATGAATGGAATCTGTTTATGACGGTTCAATCAGGCCTCAGAATCTTTTCAATGGAGAACAGCTGCCATTCCAGCAATAGCAAATTAGCTTTCTTACCATCTCATTTGGCAACTGGACTCTAACATGCATCTAACATTTCATAAACACCAAAATAAATTACTTTGAATCTAACCCCCAGAGTCCAAATAAAATCTACCTGGAGTTACGTGAGAAACACCCACGTTCCACAAACATCAGCATAAGTCTATCTGCTTCCTCACCCTGTCCATCTAAGATCAATCTTTTGCTCACTTCCTCACATAATTTAAGATCGGGTATAAGATTCCGCTTAAACATTCGGCAAGCCACTTTGTATGATGAGAAAGAATCCCCTTTTCTCAAATAACTCTCCAGGAGAATATTGCAGGTACGCGCATCAATTTTAGAAGCTGTTCTAAGGACCTTCCCCAATAGTTTATATGCTTGATCAAGGTTTCCCAAGGAGCAGAGTTTATTGATAACCTGATTATAGACAGTTCTGTACTCCTGTCTCTGGAGCATCTTTGATAACAATTTCAGTAAATCATCCACCCTACCCTGCTCACAGTACCTGTGAATGATTGCACGGTATGTCACAGGCGTAGGAAGCAGGCCGCTGTGAAGCATCTTTTCTGCCAGTTTAGTTGCCTCGTCTATTCGACCTTTTCGTCCCAATGCATCGATAACAGTAGTATAGGTGACAGCATCTGGGTGTTTGTTGTTCAAATACATGTCATCAAGGACCGAAAGAGCAGCATCCAGGTCATCCTTTTGACAGAATCCATGTATTACAGTACTAAAATTTACTACATTTATGGCGCATCCTTTGTGAAGACACTCCTCCATAAATTTCTTGGCTGTTTCTGTTTTGCCTGATTGACAAAGAGACTGAATTATCAAATTAATGTCCACCGGAGTTGGGAAAAACCCCTTCTTGATCATTTCCCTCACAATATTACAGGCCTCCAACAGCTTCCCTTCTCTACGATATCCATGCATCAGAACACTGTAAGTGATTACATTGGGTGCCCACCACCCGTCCTCACTTGCATTCATCATCTCTCTCGCTTCAGATGACTTCCCAACTTTGCAAAGCCCATTCAGCAAAGCCGTGTAAGATACTGTATTTGGCTTAAACCCACGTCTGTACATCTCCTGGAGCAATTTTTTAGCTTTATCAACCTCTCCTACATGGCAAAATCCATTCATGACAGCCGTGTACGTCACAACATCAGGATTGCACCCCTTGGCAAACATTTCGTTGAGAAGTTCTTTCGCTCTATCCATCTTCCCCTCTTGGCAGAAGGAATCAATTACTGCACTATACTCAACTTTATCAACACGGTATCCTTTCTCTCCTGCTTCCCTGATAAATCTCAGAGCTTCATCTGCATGGCCATGCTTGGAAAGCGTATGGACGAGGGTCCTATAGGTTACCGGATCAGGAATTAATTTGCTATCCTCCCACATATTCTTCATCAATTCTTTTATCTCATTGATTCTCTTGTTCTTGCAAAGAAATGCAATCACAGTGCTATAGCTGACCTTATCTGGTGGACAACTTTTTGATGGCATTTCAGCGATCAGCTGTAATGCACACTCAAGTTGGTCCGAGTCACAATATCCCTTGATCAAACAGTTATATGAGATAACATTCGGCATGATCCCAACAATTTCCATTCTTTTCAAAAATCTTAAGGCCTTCTCCATTTTATTCGCCTTCACCAAAACATAAACGGTGGTGTTACATATCGTCAAATCAGGTCCAACCCCTGCCTTTTGCATCAAAGTCAATATCTGCAATGCCTTTCTCAAATGTCCTGCTCGACTAAATGAAACCATGACATAACCAAAAGCCTCAGGTGTTCGTTCAATCCTTCTCCGAGCCATAAGCTTTAGAACTCTCTTAGCTCCTTGGCATAACTTGGTCTTACTAAGAACTTCAAGCATAGTATAATACACAGCCTCATCATGTCGATATCGCCATTGCCTATCAGCCCAGTAAAAGAATTGTAGAGCATTCCTTTCATCAGACTGAGATTTTAGCACAGCACAAACTTGCACTGGCTTCAAACTTCTCAACAGTGTCCTCAATTGCCATTCTAATTTCGGAGTCCATGCCGACCTGCAATCAATCATCTTGCATACTTCCTTGACCAGAGGATGTCTTAATTCATCTTCAACATTACTATCACCAACTCTTCTCGCATTCTCTTGGTTATGATTTCGGTTCCTGTTCCTACCATGTAAATCCAGAATTGGAAAATCATCAATATCGTCACTTTCCCCTTCTTCATCTAAATCTTCAATATCACTCCCATCATCACCATTCTCCTCTACATCAAAGCTAGCACTAATATTACAACTCTTTTTCCAGCCTAATTCCTCGGCCCTAAAAGACCCATCTCTAGAATCACCAAAATGATTACTTTGCCCATACTCTCCGTAAAAGTAATCTCCTTTCAAGTGTAAATCTTCAGGGTTTTGGTTTTTGGATGAGTATTTTGGAGTAAATCCATTATAGACCAAAGGGTTTCTACAACAACCCGTTATATATTCAAAACTAGGCCTATTACGAATTAGAACACTATAAATACTTCGAGAATGAAAACCAAACCTGTTAAATTTACAGTGCATTTTCTTCCAGCGAACTAAAATAAGGCCTAGCCTATTCAACAACATAAGAATTGAAAACAAAAAAGAGAAAGCTTTTGAGTTCTTACTGTTTCTGTCTTTCATACGACCGGATCGAATCAAAGCCAAACTCGAAAAGTAAACATTTCTTTCAGAGGATATGCAGCAAACATCTGCTCTGTTTTTTTTCCCCCACAAAATAGGGCCAGTAATAAATAGTAACATATCCACTATTCCCCAATATTTATCTTTATTATCAAATCGATTCCCCTTACTTTTACATAATTATGATTTCTTCCTCTGACCGAACAACTTTATCTCCATTGGTCCCTATTGACTAACATAAATCTGTTTACAAAGTTATACAAAGTTATACAAAAGTAATTCTCATGTTTACAAAGTTATACAGAGTTATACAAAACAAAGTTATATTATTCTCATGTTTACTTTAACTCGAATTTTTTTTTTCACTTTCTTTATTTTTTTAATTTTTTTTAATAATCTGAAATTTGAAATACAAAATAAATTAATTCTTAAAATTTAATAATAAACTAATTATACCATTACCAACATATACAGGTTAGGAAGTATAATAAGAAAAAACCTAAAATAAAATAAAAATAAGTTTTTAAATAATACAAAATAATGAAATTACCTAACTCACGTGCTTTGACAAAGTGTTGACTATTTCGTCAAAGTTTCTAAGTTGACGATGATGATAAAGTCGACACAACCTTGATAAGTGAGTGCCGATGGCTACTGTTAATGGCTTAATGCATCCATTTCAGATAACCTAAAGAGAAAACCCATCAAACACCCAGTTCCCATCCATGAATTTCACCAGTAGATTGTAGTCCTTTACAACTTTACTATTTTTGTTCTGCCGGAGGAAGAAGAAACTCTTCTTGTTGTTGGTTAGCGATTTTGGAAATTTTGTTAGTATTCAATTAATTAGTTTGATGAAGAATATCTGATCAACTTGGCTGTGATGTTTTTTTTTTTTTTTTTTGAACTTATGTTTCTGTAGATCCTATTTTGGTAATGATACTAAACTGTTTGCATGGACTCAGTAGTTTTAACATAATTACGATCTCTTCGTTTGACCAAACATATCTATTTCAATTAGTCCCTAACTCCATATTGACTAACATTATTATCAACGTATATTATAATTGCTTAATGTATATTTGAGTTTGGTAGTCCTTTTTAAGTATTAATAATTAGGACTTTTTCCACTTTATTAATCCAAGAAAATGAAAAGATTATATATGTTACATTTGATATTCCTTTAATATTATGACTTTTGATATCCTTCCATTGATTTTTTTTTAAGACCATTTATGAACAAATTAATTCATTAATAGTCTTTTTACACTATTGACTATGAGTTTTTTTCGCCTCCTCTTTTTTAACCAAGAAAATGGAAAGATTTTATGTGTTACATTTGGTCCTTTGATGTCATGACCTTTTATCTCCTTCCATTAATTTATTCTTTTATTTTTATTTTAAAGATTATGAATAAATTAATATTCTTTATTAGTTAGGAATTTTTAACCCAATAAAATGAAAAGATTTTGTATGTTACATTTTCTATTCTTTTAATGTTTTGATATTTCATTTTCTTCCATTAATTTCTCTTTTATTTTTATTTTAGAAAATTTAGAACAAATTAATGTGCCATGATTTCAACTAGAGCATTTTTCTAGCTTCAAATTTTTCATATGTCTTTTATTCTTCTCTTTTTTGAATTTTAGGATTTTATTAGTGAGAATATAAATAAATTATTCTATAATTCTATAACTCAAATAGAATACTAAGAGTTTCATATCTTTTTGAATTTTTCGGTATATATAGTTCTCAAAAATAAGAGTTTTGACACATTTATCTTTTTCTTTCTTACAAGTGTTCATCCTCTGCTCTCGATTGTCTTTCCATCCCAAATTCATTGAAGGTAATGACCATTAAGTTTAAATTTTTCTTTCTTTTATTCTTTTTTTTTCCATTGTGGGATAGGTTGTTATGTAAAAATTTGATTGTATTCTATTGTTCATTTTGTATACGTGTGTTTTTGTTTTCCTAAAATTGGAATATTATTGTATAGTTACACTAAATTTTAAAAAATATTTATTTACGCGCAAAGCGCGTTTATTCCATTTAGTAATACTTAAATTTTGAAAAAATTAAAAGTACAAGATGTCCTACAAATATTCATTAGAATAATTTTATTTAAGTTTATTCTAATATAAAAAGTAAGCAATTGAAAATATTTAGATGGGAATTTTTTTACCAAATGTAATAAGATTCTAAAAGTTAAAAAAATGGACAAACAAACAAAATACCAATGAGCATTTCGAGGTGTGATATCCAGATGAATTTTACCCACTGAATACGACCATTATTAAGTTATAAGTGAATCCAACAAGCAAGGCGATGCTTGGTACGATGAGAAGCAAGCGAATGCATATGTTATACAAATGAAATTATTTATATGATTATTGAGTTAACTGATTTAAACGAGTCAATTCATTGAAAAGTTCATTTTGTTATCGTCGAACTATGAAACAATACAGTAAAGTGGACTTAAATTTATGGATATAGAGTGTAACGCAGCTTGGGTTAAAAACTTAGTGCTTGTTTAGACGTCAACTTATATTTCATTTTACCACTTAGAAGTAAAAAGTATTTCAAGTTGAAAACTAAATGGGAAATGAAAATGTTGTTTGGACGGTATTTTGAGCAAAAAGTTATTTGAATGTTGGTTTTGAAAAAATATTTTGAGCTACATTTTGAAAATATCAAGTACGAGTCAACACTAAACAATTAAATACTGTCAATTATAATCACTGCAAAAAAGAATTTTTCCAAAAATAATCACTCAACAACGGAATTCTGCCAAATTTGTCACTGAACTATTTGTAGTTCTAAAATGGTTATTACACTAACAAAAAGTGTTTCAAGTTAGAATTTAAAATATAAATCAGATCGTTGTTTGAATGATTTTTTTTTTATTGGGTTTTGTGTTTAAAAGGTAAAATGAGACAGAATGTAAAATGGAAGGTTGGCGAAACAAGCTATTAATAAGTGATTAGTGATTAGTACTCAGGAAGTGAGAAACAAAACTACATAACCTTTAAAAAAAAAAAAACTGAAGGAAAAGAAAAAGAATATAGTAGGAATATAAAAGGATGCCAAGTAGAACAAACATCCAAAGGTTCCGACCACCAACATAAGACGGGGTCGGTGACACGTTTGCAAATTCTGAGGCCGTAAAGCTTGCCTGTGATTTTCCGCCTCAAAAAAACAAATTTCAGTGTTTCCATGGAAAAAACTTGGTGATGAGCAAACCATTTTCAACCTTCTTTTTTCTCTTCTCGCCTTATTAGAAAAGCTCTGGCACTTTCTTTTTCCCTCGCTGTCACACAAACACGCACACAAAACACCAATAAAACGAAAAAGAACAGACTTTTCAGTTTTCATCGTGGTTATACCACAAGAATAATACTCCATGTTTACAAATGTACTGGGGATTTTCCAAAAGAAACGTTTTCTAATTGGGACTTTTTCGCTTTTAGTCCTCTTCATATAGGAATAGATGATTTTGAAGTCAAATCCTACTTCAACTTCTCAAAATTGCTTGGTTTCTTCACCCCTTTTCTGCCCATGTAACAAGGATTTAAGGGTCAGTTTGTTTTCGAATAATTTCCCATTGAAGAGGAGAAATGGGAGAACTTGTGATTGGAATTCGATTTCTTCTCGGAGGAATTGGATAATCTTCAAGGGCTGTATCAGCGGAGGAGGCGGTGGTCCTGGTACTGGAAGGCATCATAGTTTGAGGGCTAGAGATGTTTCTAGTTCAGCTAGAGTTATTGTGCTGAAGAGATTTCCTGAGGATCCTGAATTGGAAGAATCTTCAGCCAATTCATCATCTAGAGATTTTAGCACCAGTAGCAGTAATAATAATCACAATTTTGTTGGTTTTGAAGAGGACCCTTTTGTAGATAAGTTGAGAACTCAATTAGGAGTGATTCATCCACTGCCATCGCCTCGGATAAATCGCAATATTGTTGGGCTGTTTGTTTTCTTTTTCTTTGTAGGAGTAGTGTTTGATAAGTTATGGACTTCGAGAAAGAAGAATAATAGTGATACTAGCAGGAATGACGGCAAGTTTGGGGGACTATGGAGGTCACAGGTTCAGATGCCTGCCAGCCTTTCAACATTTTTGGAGAAGGATTTGCAGAGGAAAGAGTCAGTGGAATGGGTTAACATGGTGTTGGGGAAGTTGTGGAAAGTGTATAGAGGTGGTCTTGAGAATTGGATCATTGGCTTGTTGCAGCCTGTTATTGATAATTTGAAGAAGCCAGACTATGTTGAAAGGGTTGAGATAAAGCAGTTTTCCCTTGGGGATGAGCCATTGTCAGTCAGGAGTGTTGAAAGAAAGACCTCTCGCCGTGCCAATGACTTGCAGTAAGTGGATTTTAATTCTGTTGTGGTGATCCTGTGTTTTTTTGCGCTTCATGGCTTGTTTATTTGCATTGGCTGAAATTCTGAATTTATGGATTTGATCCAGCTTCAAAATGGTTGCTTATTATTATTATTTTTTTAATCTCTCTCCACATGAGTTTGGTTCAGAGAACTTTCTGTTTTCATTATTGGGTTGGAACACAATGAGTATACAAACAGAAAAAAAGGGCATAAGACCAACATAATTTCAGAGGAAAAATAGTAGAATGATACATTGGCTTAGGATGCAAATTATGGAAACGTAGAACGTAGGTTATTCTGAAAACAAGGTGGCTAATTTGTAGCATGTAAGTATCCATACAGAAATGAGGGTTGGTACGATGTGGGTTCAAGAAGAAAATAAATAAAGTTGAAAAACTGAACCATAATATGCAGGACGAGTTCGGACAATATTGTGCATCTTCTTTCAGAATTTAATTTGTTGTTGGATTAAACTGCCTATCTTGCCTGCTTACTGTATGTTTATGAGTTTACCTGGTCCTGGATCAGGAGATTGGATTTTCTTAGATCTGCGGATGATTTATTTTCATATCCTTTGTGCTTTCAAGGTACCAGATTGGTCTCCGTTACACAGGCGGTGCTCGTATGCTATTATTGTTGTCACTGAAATTTGGCTTGCTGCCAATTGCTGTACCTGTTGGTGTTAGAGACTTTGACATTGATGGTGAACTCTGGGTGAAACTGCGATTAATACCTACAGTGCCCTGGGTGGGAGCAGTTTCTTGGGCATTTGTTTCTCTTCCAAAAATAAAAGTAGAGCTGTCGCCATTTCGCTTGTTTAATCTGATGAGTAAGTTGCTTCATACTCTGTGGGCATCTGTGGCTATGTGTGCTTTGGGAAAATTGTAGCAATTCTATTTGACCTTAAAGGAAAAATTAAAAGGGAAAGCGAAGTTTAGTTCTCACAATCATTGCTGTTCGATTCAATGGGGATTTGTTCTTTACCTTTATCTTGGAGAAGGAATAGCCTTATCTGCCGATTCCAGAGAAAGACATGTCAAATAGTTGCTCTCCTGTAGTTGACTAGAAGATAGAGTGGTGATATGTCCATGAACTAGTTTAAACACATGAATTTTCTTACTGCATGGCATATGTCATTAGCTGACCCCAAATATCGGATTGAAGGCTTGTTATTGTTGTTATCCGCATAAAAGTCTTTTATACTTGAAGAGGGTGACTGGTATTAGTGTTTCTCATTATTTTTGCTTAGAGTGTCTTTCTTTTTGTTTTACTCATTTTGCTTTATCAATGCTTTTGCTTTGGGACACCCTCCCTATTATCAGTATTACTAATTATGGCTCTTTCTTTGTTCTGTGCTCATGTTCGGGACCACTCCAGCCATTCCTGTGCTCTCCATGTAAGTTGACTTAAGCTGTTATACTTTATCTTTAATCTTTGTTACTGTTAACCACCATCCATACCCCCGCGTCTCTGCCATTCTTATTTTTTCAAATGATGAAGCTTTCAATCTTGCCCCGGTGTCTTTTCATTTGATTGCTTAATGAATCATTCTGTTCTTTGTTTAACTGATGAAAATTATGTTTCAGATTGTTATCTAGTCTTTGGTAGCCTTGCCTTGTTCTATCTTTTGTTCTTTCTTGTTTTATGTTGTTAGGCCTTTTCATACTTTGGTTGATAGGTTGATTGATCCAATGATCTGTATGGACATCATAGTTATGTGGCTTGGACAGTTTTCATTGCGTTGGTTTTAGAGTTATTCTATTCATGATTACAGACGACACCAAATGAAAGAAAGAATGTTGAATCTGAAGAAATTTTCTGCATACTTTTCAGTTCATATCTCACCTTTTCAATGTAACCTCTCATTTGGTATTGGAATTGCGGAGGTGACCAGAAGAGGAAGTAGATATCCTAGATCTCTCTTTCCCTTCCCACATTCTGTTGTGTGATATATGGACAAAGCTGCTTGTAAAAACCTACCAAAATTGAGTGTATGACGAGTCTCTCATTTTCAGTTACTGATGTACCGGTCTTTGTGTGCTGTATGAAATTCATGTTATGCTACCTTTTCATTGCTAGCAAAAAAGTAACAGTTCTATGTGCTAGGTTTCTGAAGAAACTTCTCACCGAGGATTTACCTAAGCTATTTGTGCGGCCAAAGAAAATTGTTTTAGACTTTGAGAAGGGAAAAGCTGTTGGTCCTGTTGCAAATGATATCAAACCAGGAGAAGTTCAAGAAGGAAATAAAGATTACACAGGAGAATTATCAGTGACTCTTGTTGATGCACAAAAACTTTCCTACTTTTATGGTAAGAAAACCATTTACATCTGAACCATTTTTGAGTGACGCATGGATAAGTGCATTTGATTCAATTTTTCTGCCTAAGAACCCATCATCTGGCCATTTTTCCAAGTTTATTCTGCCCAGCTATTATAATTGAAAATGTTAGTGCATATTCATTTTATATGATCATATCTTTTCCCTTTTCTCATAATGTTTTGTGGGCCTCGATTACTCAGGTAAAACAGATCCATATGTTATTTTGTTCTTGGGAGATCAAGTTATACGCAGTAAAAAGAACAGTCAAACCACGGTCATTGGACCACCTGGTGCCCCTATATGGAATCAGGTCAGTTATCTAGCCTCATTGATGGGTAAACCCTTTGTTTATCTCCTGTTGTGTTGTCTTGCGTCAGGTCTCATTTTAGTAACACCCGTTCTTGTCCTCACAGGATTTCCACTTGCTGGTAGAGAATCCTAGGAAGCAAAAGTTATTCATTGAAGTGAAGGATTCCCTTGGATTTACCGAGTTCACTGTTGGTACAGCGGAGGTATGCATGAATTTAAATTTAGAGAGAAGAGAATGCAAATTGGGAACTTTAATATTTGTAATGCCAAGATTTTTTAGGCCTTCCGTAATTGAAATGGCGAGGGAATATTTCCTTTTGCATATTGTTTTCTGCATTAATTTTGTTGCCCTTGTTTGAAATAATATTCTTCAGAAAATTTGTGAACTCTATGTTAGTTCTAGAACTTTGAGCCAAGAAATCAATAAATGAATTTGAGAGATGAATACAGTATATATGATGGAATTAAGTTAATTTCACTGAACCAGCTACTGTTTACAGAGTAACAATACTGTTTACAGATTGATCTGGGATCTTTGGAAGATACTGTACCTACAGACAGAATAGTAAGCCTTCGAGGTGGATGGACACAGTTTGGGAAGTCGTCAGCTGGTGAACTGCTCTTAAGGTTGACTTATAAAGCATATGTTGAGGATGAAGAAGATGAAAGGACTGAGCCTAACTTACAGGATAAATATGCTTCAGATGATGAACTTGATGCTGCAATTTATGAACAGAATGGAGTTGATTCCTCTAGTTCAAGTGAAAAGGAATCTTTTATGGATGTTCTAGCTGCTTTAATTGTCAGTGAGGAATTTCTGGGAATAGTAGCTTCTGAAGCTGGGGTTGCCAAACCTTTAAATAATTCAAAAAATGCATCAGATTCAAGGTTGACTGGGACTACGATTGGATCAGTTCGCCAAGCTTCTGTTAGTGATTCTGAAAACTCTGATGGTGGTTCTGGTAATTTTCGAGGTATTTTTCTTCTTGTCACTCTTCTTCGAAGTGTATTAATAGAACCTACAAATTGAAAGTATTTTTTTAATACTCGTTATGTATTTGGATTTTAATCGCAGGGTCGGCCTTACTTTGGCTAGCTGTAGTTACAAGTATTTCTGTGCTTATTGCTATGAATATGGGCGGCTCAAGCATTTTCAATCCTTGACATCTTTTTGTTGACTGGAAAATGGTCATGGGAGCATCTTTAGGTCTAGTAAATATTGATACTTTATTGGAGCTAGCTTGTGGTTGCACTAGTATGTTAACTGACTCCCAACTCGCTCCAACTCTTAGGTGAGTTTCTTATGCCCAAGTTTATTTATTTTATATATATATATATATATATATTATTTTGTCTTCTTTTTGCGGTATGGTTATGGATATGTAAGAAAAGCAAACGGCACTCGCCAATCTCTTCTCATTGTGTGTTGTTCAAATTTTTGATAAAATGAAAAAACCAAAAAAACCGGATCCCTCTCTATCTAAGGGATGGAAGCTCAAAAACTGACTACGGCTGGTCTCTTGATTAACCTAAACCTGCTTCATTTCTTCAATGCCGTGATGTTTACCATAGTATTACTTGTTTTGTGCAGAGTGATTGAAGTTGGTGTTCAGCGATTTTGCGGGTTGGTGCTCTCCGCTGGTTAATTCTTGTTTCTCTTTTGTACATTGCTAATTCATCTATAACTTCGTCAACTTCAGGAAGAGATGTATGTGTATCTTTTGCGGCCAAATCTGAAAGTTCAGACCTGGGTCTCTTTCAACTGTTTTCTTGTTAGGTTTATTACACTCCCTCCCCCAAAAATGATTGTCCAGTTTGGATCTTTATTTTTAGTTCAAATTATACTAAAATTGAAATATCAAACTAGATAATGATTGTACTGAAAGTGAAATCTTAAACTGTACAATAATTTTGAGACGGAAAGAGTATATGTCAATATGGCAAGGATGTGCAGATGAGTTTTTTTTTTTTTTTTCACAATTTAAGTGTATTGTAATCCATAATGGTTGGTCAATATAATATAACCAAAATCTAACCAAAATCGAAGGGAAAAATATAAATATCGAAATATATGTAAATATTTCAGTGACTATCTTTCCCATCAAAACACAAATAAACTCAACGTTAATTATCACTTTTTATAAATTTGTTAAATGTTGGACCATTTTCATTTTATTATTATTCTTTCATTTATTTTATTGGAAAGGAGTTTCCATATAAGAGAACATGAATGTAGGTCGAGTTTTTTTTTTTTAAGTTTCTTGTATATTATTAAGAAGAACCTATTCTATTACCGTGCATTTTACTATATGCTAATCTATGAACTCTATTGACATCACTACGACTAGTTTTGACTATTTGACATGAAGAAAAATTAGAAGTGAAAGTACTAATTAAAGAGACTACTTCTTGGACTTCCATCGGGATTAGTAAACTATTAAGATCCTGTGTAAGCATCTCACACTCTGTAAGGATACTAACTCTATGAATTCTAAGTTTAGAACCTTCCTGCATAGCTAGGAGGCAAGTTACTGCCTCTGTTTGAAAAGGAGATAAGGATTATAATTATACAGTTTTGATTTGCATCACCACTCTCCTGCAGCATAATGTGAGACCAAATCATACGAACCATCAAAAATAATCTCGGAGCAGTCTCTGTCAGCGTTCTGAATATAGGGCGAGTTGAGTCTCCCTACATCCTTTCCTTACTAGACTTTACTCCGTTGTAACAGCAACATAGTACACCAGACCTTCAATCCTCTTTTCTTTATTTGTGCAAAATTTATGGTTAGGCTAGCAACATAGTCACGAAAACTTCCTTCTTCTACTGCACAAAGGTTGAGAAGAGGGCACTGCAACACAAACAATGTCGATATGAATAAGACACCAATGGTTTCTTAGATACAATTCCATAGTTTGTGACTAAAGACTTGCAATGAAAAATAAAGTGTACTTCAAAGAAAATAAACAAGTACCTTGCACCGCAATTCTTGAAGAAAAATTTCGCTCGCTCCAGATACAGTGACAAGCATGTGGGAATTGAGTACAACAATGTTTGGTGCATACTTTGAAGCTAAATCCAATAACAAGAGTTAGTATGTATTCCCTTCGATCCTTAATACAAAGGTATTTTAATTTGTAATAGATTTCACCTAATATGTATTTTTAATTAACGGCTTTGTTTGGCAAACCTTTCATTTTATATTTTGTCTCATTTTACCTCTTAAACACAAAACCCAATGGAAAAGAAAAAAATCATCCAAACAACTTTTTGATTTACATTTTAAATTCCAACTTGAAACACTTTTTGTTGTGTAATGACCATTTTAGAACTACAAATAATTCATTGACAAATTTGGCAGGATTCTGTTGTTGAGTGATGTTTTTGGAAAAGTTCTTTTTTGCAGTGACTATAATTGATAGTATTTAATTGTTTAGTGATGACTTGTACTTGATATTTCAAAATATAGTTCAAAATATATTTTTTCAAAACCAACATCTATACAATATTTTTATTTTTCATTTAGTTTTCAATTTGAAATATTTTTCACTTTTAACTGATAAAATGAAATGTAAGTTGATGTTGAAACAAGCACTTAAAAGTATTTGATAATAATTCCATTTTCTTCCGGAAAACTTCGGCCCCGGGAAGGCGGGAGATGATTCCCTTTATTTGTATTTGTGATGATAATAAGAGATAAATGGGTCAAAATGGAATTGGGCCCAAACATACTAGATTCTTAGACACAATGGAAATACAGATACCAAAAAATGTTAGTACGAATAAAAATAAAAAAGAAAATTAAAAAACGGGCGTTTGTTCTTAACTTGTGAAGTTAAAAAGTCACCGGCGTTTTTACCCCCGTGACGGAGTTCCATATCTTCTGGTAAAAACTTTTTCTCACCCCTTCTTTCCAATCCCGACGGAGTCCTACACTACAGATTAATTTGATCTTCTTCTCTGTCCTTTTTGCAAAACCCTAGGAAACCTCCGATTTTCGATCCGGTTACACTGCATCTTGGCAGAATTCACGACTATCTCCGGTGAGTTAATTGTTTTTTTTAGCTGTATAAATCTTTCCTTATCGGTTATTGTGTTGCCGTTCTCTTTTTCCCCGTTAATTTATGGTTACGACATGGTTTTTTTTGTGCCTACTTAGTTTCTTGGACTGATGAACTTTGAATAATAGTTTGAGTAGGCTCGTGACTGTATTTAACTATCGCATTGTCACTGTTCGTTTTGTTTTTCGAACTGGCATTGAAATTTTGCGTAAGCTTCTGTTGGTGCTCAATTTTTGTTTTAATTTTTTAGTTACACTTCTGAATGGGGATTTACACTCTGTTTCCTGTTGATGTCACAGTTTGCTGAGGATTCTGGTAGGAGGTGGTGATATGTCGAGATTCCATGTTGGGGGGAAAGTGGTGGACAGTATAGTTCTATTGAAAAAGCGGCATTGGCTATGGCGTTTGGATGTATGGCCCTTTGCGATCCTATATGCTTTCTGGGCTGTAGCTATAGCTAGTAGCATAGATATCTTCGATGCCTTCATAGTACTTGGTGGATTCTTCATTGCTCATATTTTAGTTTTCCTCTTCACGGTCTGGTCCATCGATTTCAGATGCCTTGTCCAGTACTCGAAGGTTTGCACTTACACCTTTTCTTTTAACTCTGTTGCGAAATTTATTCTGATAGTACTTTTTTTGTCATTGTATCATTATTTGCCTGTTTTGGTTCATGGGGTGGTTGTTTTGTTTATAGTTGATATGGTGTGGTAGTGAAATGTTTGATTATTCTCTTTCTTCTTTAGTCAGCTTGTACTTCATTTCCCTCCCTTTTTATTGGGGTTTCCTGCAAATTACGCAGAGGATGATGTAAGTGAATAATGAAATACTTCAAATAACTCTATCTAGGTTGGTCTGTGGAATGCTAATTTTCGATTCAGTTATCTTTTTGCTCAGTCAGGATATTCTCGGTATGTCAAAAGCATTTCATCAATCATTGTGTATTTGTGTGGTAAGTTTTGTAGCATTCGATAGTGAGCGACACTGTTATAGTAACTCTAGAGCTCGCATCATCACCAAAAACCGATGCTTTTCTTTTTCTTGTACCTGATCCTGTTAAGGAGAAGATTCATTGTACACAAGTAACAATGGGTAGACTGGTGTTGTTTATGTGAGGGGACAACCTTTCATTCTTGCTGCTACTTTTGATGACAACTTGAGGAAATGTTAGTTCTGATTTGAAGCCACAAAACTGGTACCATTAAGCATGGGCTGTAGTGAATGCTGAAGTATTAGTAACTACTGTTCTTTGAGTTGTGCTTTGGAATCCTTTTTACCTTGCCTCTCGTGAACTCAAGTTACCGTCTACTTTTCCTCTTTGTGAATGCCCCTGGTTGATCTTTTTAACAGAAAGAGTACTAATCTTGCTTTAAATCTGTTATTGAATGATGATCTGGTTGCTAATCGATGGTCATGTTTCCAGGTTAATGACATTCATCAAGCTGATGCTTGTAAAGTTATTCCTGCGAAATTCTGCGGTTCAAAAGAAGTTGTTCCGCTCCATGTTCGGAAGGTTTGAGTTTTGATTATTACCTTATTGTAATTCTATTTTTTGGGTAGCTTTTATCTCATTCAATTGAATAGATTCTTGTTTCAAGTATTTAGGCAGTTTGTCTGCCCATTTTTTCTGTCTTCTGAGAATATCTTAAATGCTGAGACTAATTTTAGCAGTAGGGCTGTGCCGTCATTTATCTATTTTTATTGTTTTAATGACAAAAAAATTGCTTCTGTGCAGCTTGCTGGTTCCTCTGCTTCGGAGAATGCGGAAGAGATTTACTTTGATTTCAGGAAGCAGTCCTTTATCTATTCAGATGAAAAGAAAACTTTTTGTAAGCTGCCTTATCCTACAAAAGAAACATTTGGATACTATCTAAAAAGTACCGGATATGGGACAGATGCTAAAGTTACTGCCGCTACTGAGAAATGGGGACGGAATGTGTAAGTACTTTCTGAGCATGATGGTACTGTTGTGTGCTTTAATTTACCTGCTGTTGGTTTCTTCTCATGTTATGCATATTAGTATATCGCAAGCTATTTCTGTTATGAATGAGATTTGGTTAACTTTTGTCCCACTTCTTTTAATAATTATGGTCTTTATACTCTGTTTCAAACAAAATTAATGTCTCTTAGTTTTCTTTTCTTTTTAAATTTATTTTTATTTTTTTGCCTTCGTGTGGGGGTGGTCTTGTTGAAGGATCGGACTATTTTGTCAGTTGTACAACCTCGCAAGGAGGGATGGTCTCTTTGAAGCTTTTATTCTCACGCCTCTGACCTCTGTCAATGATGAAGCCCTTAGTGGGTGACGGGTGTAGCAAAATTTATATACTCACACATACTCATACTCACATTTTTGCATGTATAAATGTGTGGATACATTTTCGCAGCTATTATTATATACCTTAACCTTATTGTGCATGGATCTGTAAAAATTGTAATTTTGTCCATCTGAATCCTGTCCTTTTTTATTTTTTATTTATTTTTTATTTTTTTAAGGTTATGATCTGTTATATTCTGTTTTTTTTTTAATCTTTTTCATGGCTCTGGTTTTGATTTATTTTGTATGACCTTTTCCTTCTTTCCTCTTTTGATTTCCATGCTTCAGGTTTGAATATCCCCAGCCTACTTTCCAGAAATTAATGAAAGAGCAAGTCATGGAACCTTTTTTTGTATTCCAGGTCTGTCTTGATTTTGTTTCATGGCTGCAAGAGCAAGCTCAATTTGTTCTATGCTGGTCTTTTTTGCTTTTGATGTCATCTGATCTCTATTTCTTACTTATTCAGGTTTTCTGCGTGGGACTATGGTGTTTAGATGAATTCTGGTATTACAGTCTCTTCACTCTGTTTATGCTGTTCATGTTTGAGTCAACAATGGCAAAAAGTCGCCTAAAGACTCTCTCAGAGCTCAGACGGGTGAGAGTAGATAACCAGACGCTGATGGTGTATCGTGGGGGGAAGTATGTGCATCAATTGCACTTTGATGGTCTTTGATTCTTCTCTCTGCATTTGCAATAACTGTTTATTTTTTATGTTTTAATAGGTGGGTCAAACTCCCAGGAACTGATCTTTTGCCCGGTGATGTTGTATCTATTGGGCGCTCTTCTAATCCAAATGGAGAAGATAAGTCTGTCCCTGCTGATATGCTATTGCTGGCTGGAAGTGCAATTGTTAACGAAGCTATACTGACTGGGGAGTCTACCCCCCAATGGAAGGTAGTATCTTGACTCTGATAACTAAGGTTTTTCTATTCATCTCTCTCTCTCTCTCTCTCTCTCATGGTTGTTGATCTGCATGAGACCTGTGTGAAATTTTGCATAACCGTTTGTGGCGGCATCTATGATACACCAGTAACTCATCAAGCAGTGCAGTGTCAGCATTATAACCATTGCCCTTTAGTTACTGCGTTAATTTATTGGTATGTTCTACTTATTAACAATTTCATTGTGAGATCGTGAATTTTCAGGTGTCCATCATAGGTCGAGGAACTGAAGAGAGATTTTCAGCTAGACGTGATAAAACTCATGTTCTTTTCGGTGGAACAAAGATACTGCAGCATACAGAAGATAAGGTACTTTCTGCTTTCTTTTTTAATCTGTTTTTTCTGTTTGTGCTTTCTTTTTTAACCTGCATCTTTTCTGTATCAGTTTTTGTCATCTTAATCCCTTTTATTTGTTGCAGACAGTTCAAATGAAAACGCCAGATCATGGCTGCTTGGCCGTTGTTTTAAGAACTGGATTTGAAACCAGTCAAGGAAAATTGATGAGAACCATATTATTCTCCACAGAGAGGGTATGTGCATTATGTTTATCTTATGTTCTTAGTTGGGAATTCACTCTTTCCTTTCCGCATTTGGCTTTTCTGACTTCATTTTTTCATGTAATTTTTAAATTTTGCAGGTTACTGCCAACAGCTGGGAAAGTGGATTGTTCATTTTGTTCTTAGTATTTTTTGCTATAATTGCTGCAGGTTATGTTCTTAAAAAGGTCAGTGTCGTTTGTGGATTGCTGTGTTTTATGTGTGTGTTCCATTTGAATTTAATGTGGAAAGCTACTGCTTTGGTATACCTATTTTTTACTTAAAAATGGGTTCTTTTGCAGGGACTCGAGGACCCATCAAGGAGTAAATACAAGCTTATCTTGAGTTGCTCTTTGATCATTACATCAGTTATCCCCCCTGAGTTACCGATGGAATTGTCGATAGCTGTTAACACATCTTTGATTGCACTGGCACGTCGTGGGATATTTTGCACCGAACCATTCAGAATTCCATTTGCTGGAAAGGTCAGAAATCCGTGTTACTATAATTATCTTGTGACTACTAGTTGTTTCTTGTAACATGGGTGGTTTACTCATCATGTAAAACATCTTTCCCTGGGTGGTCAACTTGGATGAAGAAAGAGTCAGTTTTGCGTCATTTGATTATTTGAATTTCTGATCTTTATACATTTTCTTAGTTTTCATTAAGGTTTTGTCATCAGTAAAACAACTTTCCCTGATCTTAGGAGTCCTTATAGATTCTTATGTCGTCATTAAGGTTTCCTTGCTCTTTGCAGGTTGACATATGTTGCTTTGACAAGACTGGCACTCTCACATCGGATGACATGGTATGTCAATTTAATGCATGAATATTCTAATTTTTGAGGTTAACTACATTTAGGAGTTTTAGTGGGATAAAAGATCATTTGTTTGGTGATTGTGTTGTTTAACATTTAGGAATTCTCTGGAGTTGGTGGGCTAACGGACAGTGAGGAGTTAGAAACCGACATGACTAAAGTGCCAGCTCGTACACAACAAATTCTTGCTTCCTGTCATGCGTTGGTTTTTGTGGACAACAAGCTGGTAAGATTATATCTTTTGGCTGTTAGTAACGTACACAGTATTTGGCTACACACAAGTTTAGATGCTATTGTACAAAGAATTCTGAATCGCATTTAATGTTTGAATTGATGTATTCAATAAGCCTGTACATCTACTCGGGAAGTGTAAAAAAAAGTATTTATATAGCACAATAAACAGATTTTGTTGGTTGGAGATAATAGCTGTCTAATCAATATGAACATGATGGTGTTAAAATGAGTTTGATCTATCCAGTGATAAGTGAAGATGACTTGTGACTTATCCATACTTCCTTCAAGGAAGTTTTAATTTTCTCCCAAAGAGTTCTGTTTTCTGTCATTCCAATAAAGGTAAAAGGACCTTATTTTAAAGTTTCCATTGTCCTGGGAATTGAACAAGGACTTTTTAAGTAATTCTGTCAATGTTGCCTGCCCTGTAAGTACAATAAAACTGTTTAACCTGGTGTTTCTAATGTAATTTACCTATTTCGGTATGACTTAAAAATATATTATTAGTATCTTGCTCATTTTTGGTAATATGATATTCATACTTGAATACAGGTTGGCGATCCTCTTGAAAAGGCTGCACTGAACGGGATTGAATGGTCGTATAAATCAGATGAAAAGGCTGTCCCAAAGAAGTAATCTACTGCATTACTATTTGTTTGTTCCTTTTCAATGTGCACATATATAGCAATGGATTTTTTGCGCTGTTTAGTAGGTTTGCAGTTATTTATTTCAAGAATTTGTTTTTTGGTTGCTTTTCCAATGATGTCTTTGAAAACTTCTTTAGGCAAAGGCAAATAATAACGCACATTTCACTCTTGGTTTTGACCAGTAATTTGAGTTGCACATTCGTAATATTCACAATCACTACTTTCTGTTGAAGTTATTCTCTAATCATATCAGTGATTTATATGTCTCTTTCAAATGACTTCTTACTACAACCAGTAATCTTTTTTTGTTTTCTTAACAAAATTTGCAGGGGTAATGGCGATGCAGTTCAAATTGTGCAGAGACACCACTTTGCGTCTCATTTGAAAAGAATGGCAGTTGTAGTTCGTGTTCAGGAGCAGTTTTTTGGTTTCGTAAAGGTTCGGATGGTTTCCCCATTTCTAAACGACCATTGCATCTAAAAACTTCTGGCATGTAGTGTATGTCTTCTTATATCTTTTATGATGATTTGGTGTATGTTTCAATTTTTATTTTCATTATTATATTACATGTATGAAAGATTTGGGATTGTTCCTTTTAGTCTAAATCCAACTGGCGTGCAATGCTATATATTTATTTTTATTTATGTACTTTTTTTTATCCCTCTCGCTTTCTTTTTGGGAACTACTCCGCTTGTATGCTTTGAAGGATGTATATGAAATTGATTCTTTGTTCTCTTTGAATTGCAGGGTGCACCTGAAACCATTCAAGAAAGGCTTATAAATGTCCCCCCATCTTATGTGAAGACCTACAAGAAATACACCCGCCAGGGATCTCGTGTCTTGGCACTGGCTTTCAAGTCTCTTCCAGATGTGTCAGTAAGTCTTTTGTATTGTTTGGCAGTAGTTCTCTTTTAATTGCTAATTAGAGTTGCAGTTTCAAAATAGAATTCCCTTGAATGTTAATTATTGCCTATGGAGTTCTTCTGTTATGCATTTCTCACCTATGGAGTTCTTCTGTTATGCATTTCTCAGTTTGTTTCCGTTGGAAAAAATCATATAAAAATTATTAATTGACTGCAAAAATCAAATAAAAATTATTAATTGACTGCCTTCAGCAAAAATAAGAAATTTGGTGGAACCATTAAGATCTGAATGTCTATGGTACTGGTAAACATGCCTCCTGTATCCCTATCTTTTGTGCATATGGACATATTTGGCCATATCTAAATGACCTGAATAATGGATGCTTTGGAGTTGTTCACATTCATGTACGATTTTGTTTTTATTTTTTATGCTGTTTGCTTTGCTTGTTTTCTCAACAATATCTCTTCAATGGGTGAAGGTTGGTGAAGTAAGAAGCTTGGACAGAGACACGGTTGAAGCTGGACTTACTTTTGCTGGTTTTGCGGTAAAATTTAATCAGTGGTTTCTTTAATTTTCTTTCATGGTATGATATTTGTTACCGGGTTAATTTTGATTTTTGCACTTCAGGTTTTTAACTGTCCGATTAGAGGAGATTCATCCACGGTGTTGTCTGAACTAAAAGGATCATCACATGATCTGGTGAGTGAATGGAATATTTGCTGTAACAGACACTAAATTTTCTGGTTTTGGGGGTTTCTACATTATGTTTTTGTTTGAGCTTATTTGTTGAGTGAATTTTCGAGGATGATAAAAAGTTACATTTTGGTAAAATTTGTGTATGTCAGGTAATGATTACTGGTGATCAAGCTTTGACCGCATGCCATGTTGCTAGTCAAGTGCATATCGTGACAAAACCTGCCTTAATCCTTGGCCGTGCTAAGACTGGTAAAGGATATGAGTGGGTTTCACCTGATGAGACAGAGGTCATTATCTACAGGTAATAGATTCTCTATGAATTCAATGTTTTGTACTTGCTCCATGCTTCTGTGATGTTTATTATTTTCTTTGATGCATCAGCTGATGGCTGATCCTTTTCGATTACCTAAATTCGTCATATATCTTTCGAGAAATTACATGTATTTGTTTACTATTTCTCTGGATTTCCTTTTGTTTTCCCTGTGTCGTTCGGAAGATTCTAACTTTCCCTTTTTGGTTATAGTGGGGACGAAGTTGAGTCTTTATCAGAGACTCATGATCTTTGTGTAGGAGGTGATTGTATAGAAATGTTACAACAGAGTTCCGCTGTTCATAAAGTTATCCCATACGTAAAGGTTGTTTTCCGTTTATTGTAGTTACAAATCTGTGTCATAAGTCATATTTCTTACCTATTGTCTCGAACTCATCAGGTTTTTGCAAGGGTAGCTCCAGAGCAGAAGGAACTCATCTTGACCACTTTTAAATCAGTTGGAAGGGTAACATTGATGTGTGGCGATGGAACAAATGATGTTGGTGCATTAAAACAGGTACAATTTCATTGGGGGCTGTCTACGATATCCCTTGTCTGATAGTTTTTTTGTCTGTATGCTGGCAGTTCCATCAACATCTTTTTGCTTATTTGAGTCCTACTTTGATATGTTAATTTGCGTTTGCTGATTACGACAAGACATAATAATTATAGTAGTGGAGTTGGTGGCTTAAGCTGGATCCTGTTCAGTTGTTTTGTAATTGTAAATTATATGGCTGTTTTTAGGGAAACTCCTGAGTAGTTGTGGTATTCAATGTGACTTCTTCAACCAGAACTGGTTAAAATTTTCTATAGGGTAGTTGGAAGAAACTGTTTAATTGGTATGATCTACATTGTGACGATCACACTTAATGCTGGACATAACATACACTTGTGATAGTGTCTGGTAGATTTGTGATAATGATGGTAGTATTTTGTCACTGATTGGATCGGTCTTGTGGTACCAACATTAGTTGTTAACTGCATTCTTTTTTCATTCCTTTATTTAGGCTCATGTGGGAGTTGCTTTGTTGAATGCGGTAGCTCCCACTCAAGGTGAGAAGTCTTCACCCGAAACATCTGCAAAAGGTGAAAATACAAAAGCTGCAAAACCCAAAAAGAGTAAACCTACTACTGAAAATGGGGAAGGACCTTCAAAGGGCAGCAATCAAGCTGTTAATCGTCATCTGACTGCTGCAGAATTGCAAAGACAAAAGCTCAAGAAAATTATGGATGAACTAAATGAGGAAGGAGATGGTCGTGCTCCCATTGTGAAGCTCGGGGATGCTTCAATGGCATCACCATTCACAGCAAAACATGCTTCAGTTGCGCCCACAACAGACATTATTCGTCAAGGTCGTAGTACCCTGGTGACTACTCTCCAAATGTTCAAGATTCTTGGACTCAACTGCCTCGCGACGGCCTATGTATTGAGTGTGATGTATCTGGATGGTGTCAAATTGGGCGATGTTCAGGCAACAATTAGTGGGGTGTTCACTGCTGCCTTTTTCCTATTTATCTCACACGCTCGCCCTCTCCCAACCCTTTCAGCCGAGCGGCCTCATCCAAATATCTTTTGTGCTTATGTTTTCCTTTCTCTGATGGGACAGTTTGCAATCCATCTCTTTTTCCTGATATCTTCTGTGAAAGAGGCTGAGAAGTACATGCCAGATGAATGTATCGAGCCCGACTCTGATTTCCACCCTAACCTTGTGAACACCGTGTCATACATGGTCGGCTTGATGCTTCAAGTTGCAACATTTGCTGTGAACTACATGGGGCATCCGTTCAACCAAAGCATTTCAGAAAACAAACCATTCTGTTATGCATTAGTGGCTGCTGTTGGTTTCTTCACTGTGATAACCTCGGACTTGTTCCGGGACTTGAATGACTGGCTGAAGTTAGTTCCAATGCCAGCAGGATTGAGGAATAAGTTGCTGCTGTGGGCGGCTCTTATGTTTATAGTCTGTTATTCATGGGAAAGAGTATTGAGGTGGGCATTCCCAGGTAAGATGCCATCCTGGAAAAGGCGACAACGAGCGGTCGCAGCCAATATGGAGAAGAAGAAACAGTGATTCCGTCTAGTTTATGATTTTTCTATCCATATAAGATCATCGGAGAGAGTTTCAATTTGACTAATTTGTTACCATAGTATAACAGACAAAAGAAAAAAACGAGGTAGAGAAACATTCTTTTTGTTTCATGTGTAGGAGAACCAAAAGTATATAATATCCATTAAGATCTTGGAAATTTTGAATGATGATGTCTAATGCAATTACTGCTTGAAAGTCTCTTGCTAACCATTCAGCGAGGTTTTTTTTTTTTTTTGTGTACTTTTTCGTTCTTTCTGTTTGGACATGTTTTGCTAATGATCAAGAGTAAATGGCACTCAAGTGGCTAACAGCTGAAGTGTAGCCACCATCAATCACAAGATTGTGCGCTGTTATGAAGCCGCTCTCATCACTTGCCAAGAACAGCACCGCTTGACTTGCATCTTCCATTCTTCCGCCTCTGCCTATCAAAAGGCTAGCCCTTTCTCCCACAATCTTAGTCACGTCTTCAGCGTCAATATCATCTCTTCCAAGGCACAACTTGTAACCATTCACGAGCATCTCAGATGGAATGCCATGAGGCGAGATACAGTTCACGCGAATCCCATGTTGCCCTAACTCACAAGCAGTGGTCTTTGCTAGGCCAAGAATGGCATTCTTGGTTGCTGTATAAGGATGTGAAGCTAGTCCTCCCATGATGGCAGCCGAGCTAGACGAACATACAATGCTGCCTCCATTCTTACCCGCTATCATTGCTCGCGAAGCGTGTTTGATGGCGTGTATGATCCCGAACAGGTTTATTCCAACGAGTGAAACCACATCCTCAATTTTGAGAGTTGTTATGCTTCCTCCAGGGCCTCCGATGCCTGCATTGGCAAACAGTATGTCTAACTTGCCTTTCCACGACACAGCAAGCTGAACAGCCGATTCAACTTCTTCTTCTTTTGAGACATCACAGTGAATGTACTTCCCACCGATGGATTGGGCTAAATTTGTACCTAAATCATCCAGTACATCAGCAATGACAACATAAGCTCCATTTTTGGCAAACAGTTGTGCTGTTGCTCCTCCAATTCCTCTTGCACCTCCTGTTATGAGAGCAACTTTGCCCTTCAGCCTGATGGAATGAAACCAACAAAAAGGGAAAATCATTAGATCATCATTTAAGCCAAATTAACTCATAAGACGACGATAATCAACTGAAGTAGTGATTATATTAACCTCTTTGCGGAGGATGAAGTATCTTGGCTCGAGTTGAGATCCATTTCATGATGAGAAAGGGAAAAAAAAATGCTGAGCTAGGGTACTAAATATATAGTAAAACTCCATGCGATTATACAGAACATCCATTTGTGAATTAAATTAGGCTGCACTCTTTTTGCATTCCCACTATCTTTTTTTTTTTTTTGTGTGTTTTTTCTTCTCATCGTTTTCATGCTTCACAACTAAATCGTATCTAAAAGCATTTTTGTCTACAATTTCGGATTTTATAAACGACCAGACAAAATGTGCCATCTTTATGAGTGTAGGTTTTTGTGCAATGCAAAGGTTGAGAAGACTATTTTTTTCCCCTATAAAAAGAGCAGGTCATAAAACCATAACGTAACGAAAATGTGTATGTTTAGAGAGCACTTTAAACTGATATCAAATGTCATGGCTGAGTCGTTTCCGGCATAATTCTGGCCAATAAATAGAGAGCAAACGGGCTATATGTATTTAGGGAGAAGAAACAATTCTGTTACGACTGAATTATTCTATTTTTACATGATTATTCTGGAAAGAATATTCCAGTATTTATACTCAACAAAATTGACGTAATGAACATAAAAAGTCAAAAAACGTGCTAGTTTGGACGTCAACTTACATTTCATTTTGTCACTTAAAAGTGGAAAATGTTTCAAACTGAAAACTAAATGGAAAATAAAAATGTTGTTTGGATGTTGGTTTTGAAAAAAAAATATTTTGAACTACATTTTGAAATATCAAGTACAAGTCATCATTAAACTATTAAATACTGTTAATTATAGTCACTGTAAAAAAGAACTTTTCCAAAAATAATCACTCAACAACGGAATCCTGTCAAATTTGTCACTGAATTATTTGTAGTTCTAAAATGGTCATTACACTAACAAAAAGTGTTTCAAGCTGAAATTTAAAATATAAATCAGAAAGTTGTTTGGATGATGTTTTCTTTTCCATTGGGTTTTGTGTTTAAGAGGTAAAATGAGTGAAAATGTAAAATGGAAGGTTGTCCAAACAAGGCTGCATGGGACATGAAAGCATTAAATGCATTCTTTAAGGTCAAAAATAGAAATAAGGCAAACTGAAGCGGATCCGTGCTCCAAACCCGACACAGAGTCTGGCTTTCAAAAACAGGCGCGCAAGACAAGTAATCTTGACCCAATCGATTCTATCTCAGATACTTGAAAAACCCTAACCCAGTATGAAAATTGAAAAAGGTAAAGTCTCCGTCGAATTTTTCCTGCGATTTATATTTAGTTTATTATAATCCGATTTACTTGACCGTTATTGCTCGGTACGATTAGAATCCAGAAAAAATCAAAATCAAATTTTGGTTATATGATTTTGTTGTTTGTGTCTAGGTATTACTGAAGCTGCGATGGAGGCGATCACCGGACGGGCTGAACCCTCCTCTTCTTCTACTACCGGCGAAAGGGTAAAGTCTCCTACTTTAAGCATTCTCTGTTCCTCTTCGAAGAATATCATGTGTTTATTTTGGTTTGATGGTTATGTTTGTTTTTTTGCTATTTGAAGGTGAGAATAAGAAGGGAATTCAATCCCTTTTAAGTGCCCGGAACAGGTACCCGTACCTCCTCTCTCCCAGGAGGAACCGGTAATTCTTCTTTTCCTTTTTCGTTTATAATTGTTTTGAAAAGTTAAAAAAAAAAAAAGAAAAAAAATTGCCCTTGTTAGTGTAGCTGTTCAATTTCTTTTAAATTGGGTGGTTTCTGTTTATTTTTGTCTGACGATTTTGTTTGCTCTACTCTTATTGCAGGATGAGTTTCCTGTACCAGTGTTTTCTCCTCCTAGCTCTCCTCGCTCTGACCTCAAAGGCTTAGGCGTTAGTATTTTTTTTTTCCCCCTTTTTCCTTTCTGTTTTGAAATTGTATAGTTGATTTTTTTTTTTTTGGGGGTGTTGTTTTGGTTTTGGTTTTGGTTTTGGTTTTAACTTTCTGTACCTTGCTTGATGTGTTTTTCAGTATGAATATGACTACCCTAATGTGGAAGATGGAGTCACCGCGTTGGGTTTTATATACCGTAGTGGGGTTATGGTAGCCGTTGATCATTATAGCACATCGGATCCATTTCCAGAAAACGTTCATGTTCTTACCAAGAACTTTTTGCTTGTCACAATTTCTGGAGGTTCCAATTTCCCAACGGACAAAATGATTCGTGATCTGAAATGTTTGGTAAGTGGTCTACATTATGAACACTATATCTTACTTTAGCTCAATCTTAAAAGATACCAGTGTGGTCCATGACGTAATTGTTTGTGTTCTAGTGCCAGGATGGTGAGGGAAGACCTTGTGCTTCCCAGGTATCCGAGTGGGTTTCTGATTTTGTGAATAAAGAATCTGCTGCTCTTCCCGATTGCTGATTGCTGGGATGAACGGGCCGGTATATCTTTTGGAACACTCCTTATCTTTTTTGGCATGCCCTGCCTACCCTTATTAATTTTGATCACTGTTAGTCATTCCCTTTTGACATTTATTATTCTGTAGAAACCTGTATGAAGATTCAGACCTTGACGCTTGATGTGGTTCGGCTGGTTGTGTTAATCTGGTTGTCAAGTATGCCGCCGCTTCCTTTATGATTACTTGTGTTGTTTGATCATATCTGCTGATAAGGTTTTGCGGTTAAGAAGTTTCAATCAATCCTGTTTTGTTTCTTTCCTGCATGTACATGTTATCAGTTCCATGTGCATGTTATCAGTTGTGCAAAAGGATAGCTTTTAAATTTTTTATCAACTGGTTTCTGATATTATACTAACTGAAGAAAAAAGCTTGGCAAAGTGTGGGACAAAATGTTATATTAAAACTAGTTTGTAACCAACACTTCTACAAATGCATTTTGGGCAGATTTAATGGCTTCTCATCTTCCACTGATTGCTGTAAGGCATGTTACAAGTTGCTCTTCTCTTTGACCAACTAAATGAGTGATCTCTGTGATCTCTTTGACCACTAAATGATTGCTTGTAACGCTTTTAGTGGTACAGTGGAGATACTCATTAGGTTGATGAATAACTGTGGAGTTTGAGATTCATACTGCAACACGAAACCTGCCAGTCTTTTAATTTATAAGAATTGATAACCGTGGCCTTTCTTTTTGGATCAGACACTATTGCTTTTATTTTTACTCTAAATTACTCCACTCTGCTTCTTTAATCAATTGAAGCCTTGAAATGATAGAATTTTGTTCGGAAGTTCGATTAGACGACATCCTTTTTTGCCCCTCTTGTTTCTAACTCTTTTTGAAGCTGATTATGAAGAGGTTATATACTCCTTTTGTCCCATAATTATTGTCCAGTTTGGATTTTCATTTTTAGTTTAGATTGTATTAAAAGTGAAATTTCAAACTGAATAATAATTTTAGGACGGAGGTTGCATATGAGAAAGGCTTGGTTGGCTAATTTGACTCTATAAGAAAAATTTATTTGACAATTTCAGACTTGAAGTTGGCCAACAAGCGAATCCATGCAGTTTTTAATAGAACAAGTTTTTGCCATGTGATTTGTTATGTTTCCCGTGGGGTCAGCGATACCATGTTTATATTATTGCAATGGTTCGAAATGTAGTTAAAACCATTCCATGAAGATGATGTTATAGAAAGAGCGTATTTTAATTTCCAAAAATATTAGGCTTAACTATTGGCTTAGCTCTTTACCCGGAAATATTCCAACAACTATTTTCGCTCAGTAAGTAGTAGTATTACCATCTTTCTAAAGTCTAACAAAAACTTCTTTCGTCAAAGTGACCAACATTTCGTATCATTTACTTCACTAGTCTCCTGTAACCTAACCTGACATAAAATTAAAAATTTGTGAATTGAAGGCTGTAGTATAATATTGGTTGAGAGTTACTACGTCCTCCGTCCCAAAATTTAGCACAGATCATTAATTAATTCTACATGGCTCGTCTTTGTTTTTTTTTTTTTTTTTTTTTTTTTCTGAAAATGTACACAAGGCAGCAGCATTTCAAAATCAATATTGGCCGTTCTTCTCTTTGGACCAACAGGTCTTATGCTCCTGGAAATACTACCGATCCTAGAGTGGAGGACAGATCGGATTCACTGTGTGTTAAGCTTTCTACAATTCTTGGCTACAATGTAAGAAATTAAATCATACAATACGTAACAATAATTATGTTTCCTGTAAAATGAATCATTCTCTTTTAAGTTCAAGTTATGCCTTGGTGAGTTAATATAGCGATTGTTTCATCCTTTGTAGCGGAGGCTGGATTGGTTCAATGGGTGGGAGAGTATCCGTTTGCGTTGTAGGTCCAGATGGTATCAAGAAGGTTTTCTTCTTTGTTTTTGCAATTAGGCGTCAATTGGAGATCATTGAATCTCCTCCCTTGATATAGTTTCTTTTTTTGTGCAAATGAAATGAAACTAAGAGAAAAAAAATCTATGTATTCTGTTTTATCATAACTCTAACTATGTTAGAAATAAAATCTCAAAAATTCTCATGTTGTCGTGTGGCATAAAAATTTTCTTATTTATTTGACGTGTGCTAAATTAACTTGAAAAAAAATACAAATATTTTTTTTAAAAAAAAAAAACAAAAATGTTGTTATTGGAGAGTTACTCCTTTTTTTTTTTTAAGAATTTCACAAGTGGCCAACGCCTCAAATTACACCCGGAGGAACATATAGAGTCAATCTCCAGTAAAACAGATCTCCCAATTAGTGCGTGTAAATCCCTCTTAACTCTAGGTCCAGAAGATTACATTATGATCCTTCATGTTATGGATCATATCAATAGCTATCAGCGAGTCCGATTTGCATATTAGTTTAGCTATTCGTAGCTTCTAAGCTACTTCCGTAGTTAGGAAAATGGCTCAAACCTCTGCAGTCTCAACTGAACAATGATCCAAATTTTTGTTAAATCTTTCAATGTAAATCTTTTATCATCCCTCAAGATCCCTCCGGCTGCAGCTTCCTTAATTATTTCACACACTGCATCCAGCACCATCACAATTAGCCTTGAATTATGTCATCGGCGGCTTCTTCCCAGTGCCGGTCTTAGGGGGAGGCTACTAAAGCCCTAGCGTTAGGCCTTATATTATTTAGGGCCTCATTTTTTAAAAAATTTTATTTGCTATAATTAATTTTTTGAATTATCTTATAATAATTATTAAAAAGATAATTAAAAAACTATACTAACATAAATATTTTGACATGCAAAGTTTGTTGTATTTTAGTTATCTTATATAAATTTTTTATATCAAAATTTTAAAGTATATTAATAAAAAAATATATATTTATTCATGTCTAATTATTTGAGGCCCCAAATTGGAATTTCGCTTGAGCGATGACTTCCAACCTGGAGCAGTGGAGCTTCTTCGTTGTGCCTCCCCATTTTCTACCATTTTAAAAATTTTACTTCATAATTAACTAAAAGTATTTGAAGATGAACACGTAGTACAAACACATTACTTTTTTTTTTTTGGTACAAACATTACTTTTATTTTCATGTCACTTTTTGTTTATTCGCAAATTATATGATAATAATGGGTTTGTAATTACATGTTCGTCACTTTCTTGGTTGTTTTGTTGATTATTTAGTAACTACCTATTCATTCTAAAATTATACTTATTTTATAATTTTTTTAATTTGTTAAAACGACACTTATTTATAAAATGTAGGGACTATAAATCATGAATTGGTACACACGACTCGGTTTAAATTGTATACTCTTTGTCCAAAAATTACAAATTAAAATTGGACAATAATTTTAGAAAAGAGGGTCATGAAAATGGAACTCAAAAGAAAAAAAAAAAAACTAGATTACAAAATAAGTTTAATTTATTAATGCAAAAATGTTAGACAAATCAGTTTCCTTCCTCTCTACAACCAAAGAAAACCTACCAGAAAATCCAATTGGGAAAACCTAACTGCAAATTTCAAGTCAAAATTCCCTCTTTCAAATCCAACGAGAATGGATGTCCCAGGATCATCGAAGAAGATGATAGCAACTCAAGAAGAAATGGTGGAGGCCAAAGTCCCACTTGGCTATAGAGACCAATGTGCCCATTTGTTGATCCCATTGAATAAGTGCAGAAGAGCTGAGTTTTTCCTTCCATGGAAATGCGAGGACGAGCGCCATGTCTATGAGAAGTGTGAATACGAGCTTGTGATGGAACGAATGCTTCAGATGCAGAAGATCCGTGAAGCCCAAGCTCAGCAAAAGCAAGGGGCGACTCAGCCAATCCCTCTTATTCCTAAAACTGCCAATGCTTGATTGTCTGAATAGGTAAAAATTTTTGCTTCAAATTTAGTGGGTTATTGTAATCACTGGTTCTTTTCCGATAATGGTGCTTCCTTTGTTCGTTATCAGTTTCTGGTTTTGAGTTTTTCTTTTGACGAAATGGTTGTAGTTTAATATTTGTGGTAGAATTTTCATTCTAATGCTTGAAATTTCCTAGTTGAGGTGTTATTGGGGTCTTGCCGATTTTGTTTGTGAGTTTCATTAAGTTATTTAGAAGTTTTCTTGCGACCCTTTTCTGTTATGTGTTTGGAAATGTGAGGTCGTTAAGCTCTTATACTTTGGTGGTAGGAATGGCATGGTTTAAGTTGTGTTTTGGTAAGTGTCGTAACTTATTTTGCTGTTTTGTCTTAGTATAATAATCTTGGGCGTGAATAATAGGTGACCATTTCTCTTCCTCCCTTCAAGGATAATGGGATTATACTGTTTGCTTCTTCAGATTACTCAAATGCTCTGTACTTGAGCTGTTATTTTTGCCCGACATACACATATCTAAGTTCTTTTCTAGCTGACATTTTGAATGTTCCTTTGATAGGTTCTTTTGAACTACTGAATTTCTTAATATAATGAGTATTCTGTCTGCGTTCTTGTCTTCTGTTCTTTCAAATAGCTAGGATCCTGGGTTTGCAATTCATTGTATATGTGTTGATTGTATGTAGTGCCTACTGGTGTAACCTTCAGATTTGCTTTCATCTTGGTGGTAATCGTGTGACTGTAAATTGTTTTGCACGCCTCTATCTTGCCTTGTCTGATTTCCTACCTTGTTCTGGGGCATGGGCCAAATTAATAAGCCTTATTAATGAAAGCATAACTCTAGGGCTTTTGTTCCTAATTTTTTGATGATATGTTTCTGAGTTTTCTGATAGTATCTAATTTTCAAACGGCTGTTCTTCAAGCCATTTGATTTGGCTGTGTTCATCATTTGGTTTTTGGGAGGTGGTGGGTCTATGAGTTATATTTGCTCTGCATTATTAACTTGTTACTTCCACACAAATAAACGGATTCTAGATTACTGGAGAATTGGAAATTTCTATCCCTATTAAACCTGATAACTTGAATGTGTTTGTTCTTGTTAATTACTTTTTTTTTTTTTGTTGGTGAACTTGTTAATTACGTTCATTTCTCTGCATGTGATCCTGTATGTTCTTGTTGTGATATTATAAGTGGAACATAAGATATACTTTTTTCACATGTGTTTATATATGCATGTGGAGATCTTTATGAATAAATGTTGACATTGGTTTGTTTTTTTGTACTTACATTGTTTTCAGCGCTGATCTTTGGCCACCATTTTCTATTCTTTAGGATCAATTTGCTTTTAAATTTGGCAATGCTATGCATTGATATGTCATTTATTTGCGTTTCTTGATCTTTCATTACGGATTGTTTGGGAATGTGCTTAGTATTAGATAGCTATTGGTGCGACACATGAGGCAAGTATTTTCATGACTCTGCATGACACAAACTCATGCTCATAATATATCCAAGACGGTCCAGCAAAATGATCTTTTGACTTTTGTTTGACTAAAAAACACTTCGATTGTTGCAGACTACGGCTTACCGTCTATAATGACAAGAATTTATCTCATATAAGAGACGAGAAGCCTCAGTGTGGATTTAGAATCTTGCTTTGCGTTTTACTCCATTTTGAATGGATACAAGTGGAAACGTTATTGGGGTCTTGTCGATTTGGTTTGTGAGTTTCATTCAGTTATTTAGAAGTTCTCTTGCGACCCTTTTCTGTTATGTGTTTAAAAACGTGAGGTCTTTAAGCGCTTCTACTTTTGTGGTCGGGATAGCATGGTTTGCTTTATTTTTTGGCAAGTGTTGCAACTTATTTTGCTGTCCTCCCTTGGTATAATCATCTTGGTAGTGAATCTAAGGTGGCCATTGCCCTTCCTCCCTTCAAGGATAATGGAATTATACTGTTTGGTTCTTCAGATTACTGAAATGCTCTGTACATAATCTGTTATTCTTGCAGGACATCATCATATCTAAGTTCTTTTCTTGCTGATAGTTTGCATGTTCCTTTGATAAGTTCTTTTGAAAGTGAATTTCTTAAGAAAAAGAATATTATGCCTGCTTTCTTACTCTTGTGTTCTTTCAAATAGATAGGATCCATGGGTTTGCTGTTCTTTGTAAATGCGATGGTTGTATGCAGTGTGTACTGGTGTAATCTTCAGATTTGCTTATATCTTGGTGGTAATTGTGTGATCGTAAATTGTTTTGTATACCTCTTTCATCTTGCCTTGTCTGATTACCTTCCTTATCTAGGGCCATGGGCCAAATTATTGGCCTTGTTTTTGAAAGCATACCTCTTAGGGCTTTTGTTCCTGATTTTGACAGTGTGATGGTATGTTTCTGAGTTTCGTGATAGTACCTAATTTTTTCAAATAACTGTTCTTCAAGCCATTTGATTAGCTGTGTTCATCATTTGTTTTGTTTTTTTTTGGGTGGGGGGGTCTATGGGTTACATTTAATCTGCATTATTGACTTGTTACTTCTGCACATATAGGTGGATTCTGGTTTACAGGTGAATTGGGAATTTCTATCCCTATTAGACCTGATAACTTGAATGTGTTTGTTCTTGTTAATTACTTCCATTTCTATGCACGCGATCCTGTATGTTGCCTTGTTGTGATAAGTGGAACATAAGGTATATCTCTTTCACGTGTGTTTATGTATGCATGTGGAGACCTTTATGAACAAATGATGACATTGGTATGTTTTTTGTGCTATAATTGTTTTCAGCCGTTGAACTTTGGCCACCATTTTCTATTCTTTAGGATCAATTTGCTTTTAAATTTGGCGCTGCTATGCATTGATATGTCATTTATTTTCATTTCTTGATCTTTCATTATGGATTGTCTGGGAATGTGCTTAGTATTCAAGCTATTGCCATGACACGACAAGTATTTTCATAACTCTACATGACACAAGCACATACTCATATTGTATCCAGCACGTTCGAGCAAAATGATCTTTTGACTTTTGTTTGAGTGAAACACACTTTGATTGTTGAAGACTAGGACTTAACTTCTATGGTGACAAGAATTCATCTGATACAAGAGACTAGAAGCCTTTCTGTGGATTTGGGATCTTGTTTTGCGTTTTACTTCATTTTGAATAGATATTTGTTCATTTTATGGACACCGTTTTCACATTTACATTTCATATTCAATGTATTCTCTTATATATCTGAGGCTGAAACCATAACATTCTCCACATGGGCCCTAAGAATCCTGCTTGGCTAAAAAGAACAAGTTTTTGGTTCTTTTATTTGGTGAAATTTGTGACATCTATTACCAGTATACTTAATACAAAACATATTTTAGAGACTCCTCACAAAGTTTTTATATTGTTTAACATCGGGATTCTAAATTACATTGAACCCATGTATGAGGTTTCATTTGCTAATAGGGTTGGTTGGTAATGAGGCAAAAACTTGGCAAGAATGAGACATGTGGAATTGGTATCTGCTTTTTTGGAGTTCTGCTTGACAAAACTGTTGAGTTGGTGGATATTTTGGGGTGAAAAATGAATATTATACATGGCCTAGGAACAAAATGAGTAGGTGAGAAGACCAATATGTTGAATAGCTCTTTCATTGAGTACTGTTGATTAGCATTTTTTGGGGCTACCTTGAAATAGTTTCGATGCGGCGTATATGAATTTTGATATTGTTAACATACCACTGAATCTAACAACTTATACATGATGTCCCAGGTGGTTGGAGCTGGTGGAACATGCCTTAGATTGTTGATGTTGGCGAAATTCTGTTGAAAACTTTTCTCTGCTGGAGTGGATTTAGCAGACTGACAATACATGTTTTCTCATTTGGTATTCAATAAGCAAATCTTCTTTGACATTGTTACAATGTTCGATTATGTTGCTATCTTTCAATGGCGCACAAATCTACTACTTTTCGCTTCATGAAATTGACACTATGCACAAGTAATGTATTTGATGAAAATATGGTCACCAAAGTTAAATTTGGAGTGAATGAAATTTGTCTTACAACACTCATCGGTGTTATTGAACCTTACCCCGCAACATCAGTAGAGCAGAGAACTCCGGGAAGGTCCCTGCTAGGTAATCAATCTTACCTGGGTAGTAAAGATGGGGGGAAATGGATGTGAGTGTAGAAGATGAAAAGTACTAGAATGGGATTTGGGGTTAAATTTGGGAACCATCATTACATGACCCAAAACTAAATTCAAACCAACAAAACGAAATGGTCCTAATGTTTCTTACACTGGTGGGATGAACAAAAATCACTTGCTGGCTTAGGAGGAGGAGTAAATGATATAAAGCCAAAATCCAAACTGATCATGGTTCAGGTTTTGTTTCATATATGTTGAATGATGATCATAATTGATACATCCACATCCACATCCAATTGATCCACCCAAAGCCAAAAGGGCCAAAAACTACATTTAATTCGTTCAAAGTTTGTGTGGGATTTTCCAAACAGCTGCATGAATTCAAGTAATTATTGTATGTGGATTTCGTGTTAAAAAAAAATTGAAGGGTGTTTTGTCTCCTTCAACTATGATTTCTCTGCATTCTGCAAAAATCTACTATGATGATATATACATATATACCGCCAAATCTACTACCGGCGTTCTAGATGCCCGGCCTTATTAATGCCTACTTCCTGAGCCCCTCCCTACCACACACATAACGCACACCTAGCTTTTTTCAGCTTCCTAGTGTTACCTTGTGACCAACTTTGGCCTTTTTCCTACTTCCCGAAAACGGGTAAAAGGATGTAATAAATTATTTGGTTTAATACTGTGTATAATTGGTTTTTAAGTGGTAAAAGTATTGGACGACATTTGAATCTCAACGTAAATAAACAAATTATCTTGATAGACTTTTACCTTGTAAAAAGAATTTAACTAGTTCAGATCGAATTAGTCGATCAAGACACTCATAGATAATCCCTTTGTCCCACAAGAATAATAAATATTAAGTTTTAAAATTTATACCAAAATTAATGGAAATTTTGTAACACAATATGAACATTTTTTGAAACGTGGGGAATAACATTTATACCAACAACACTTTGACGTTGTCTTTCATTTTTTCACCTCCTAAGAAAAACGAAAAATATGAGAATTAATAAAGTTGATTTCAAAAATATCGCAATTAATAATAATAGCTAGATACATATGCTGAATTTTACATTAGCGTCTGAAAAAAAAAACAGGGACAGGAGGGAGCAGAAGGGGGGAATGATGGCACGTTACAGTCAAAAGAGGTTTTAATTCCTTTTGTCTTCTGAATGAAATATCGTCATCATTCTTTTTCCACATTATTCTCCACAACACAGTCACACAGTCCATCCATTAGACTGAAGAGTTCTTCCCCCAGTGTTACAGTCCTACCCTGTTGTTGCTGCTGATCACTAAACCCTACTGTACTCATAGACTACAACAGTATACATGTATTTTGGGACGATAAATTAGTGTATTAATTCATCTCGTGAAATGATTCGGTAACTAATATTAAACGCTTGTTATACATATTTTGAAATAAAATTATAACCGAATTATATTTGTTACTGTATTAGTATTTCACCGAATAAATTCACGATCATTTTTAAATTATTGTTATTATCAGGAGTCAAGAATGCAGAATTGAATGCTTTGGAAGGTTGGGTTGTGGTCTCAATTGTCATGTCCCACAGAGGAGGAATGCAGAAAATAGTAGTAAATACGCTGTTCCCCAGAAGTATGCATCATTCCATTTTGCAGGAAATTCCCATCATTCTCTTTTTTCTGCCTCCTTCCTTCCCCTCTGTCAATTCCCTTTAGCCCTAAAACCTTCTCTCTCTTTGTATCTTTGTCTCCTTCTTATTTATACTGTATTTTTTTTTTTAGAAAGATGTTGTATTTTTTGATGCCACAAAATACACATATTTTCGCAAGACATTTATTATACAATTTCACTATATAGTAAAATACAGGTATAGGTGTATTTTTGCGGAGTAATTTAGGGTTTGTTTGTTTCGTTTTTTTAATATATATATTTTTTATATTGAGAATATAAAAAAATATATTAAAAATATAAAAAATTATATTAAAATAAGACAATTAATAATAATTTAATTTAAAAATACCATAAGAACTGGAAACAAACGGAGCCTTAAGATGCTAAAAGGCACACAAACAAGAGCTTGACATGACGTTGATCAATAGTCTTTACCTAGTTATAGTAGCGCGCAAACCCTAGACATTTTAGAGTTTGCACATTTGACATGAATGAATAATCATATTTTTGGATTTGATTCTGAGTTGTGATAAGAAATTGAGAACAGAGGTTTAGATTTGATACCCGTTATCAAATCGTGCATTAGAAAATGCCTCCTTAGTTTTAAAATTATTGTTTAATTTAGATTTTTATTTCCAGTAAAATTCATCAATTATTATTGATTACCAACAATAAATATTTGTTTCAACAAAAAAGAAAAAAATTGATTGTGAGAGCTTGCCAAAACAAAAAATATATTCTTTCCGTCCCATAATTATTGTCCACTTTGCCCAAAAAATTTTGTCCCAAAATTATTGTCCAATTTGACTTTTTATGGATCAAGTTACACATTTATCCTTAGTAAAAACATTATCCATACAATCTTAGTGGTTAAACAATTACTTATATAGGGGTATATCTGGTTGTTTAAAGTAAAATATAGTTAAATTTGACGAAAAATAAAATCTTTTATTTTAGTAAAACTGGACAATAATTATGGGACGGAGGGAGTAGTAATTAGCACTCTATGGAAACGGGAATCTGTGAGTGATGCATAGGCGGTCCACCCCAGATATGATGATATCAGTTTTAAACCATAGGGATTCTTCTATTTAACCCCCGGATATTCCATTTGGAGCTTTGTTTATCATTTCCCCCTTTCTCTTTTTTCTCTGTTCACCAAGTTGACTTTTGTTTTTTTTTTTACGTCTTTTCAAACCAAAAAGCAAATTCACCTTCCCTTCGCACACTGCCAGAAATGCATCAAACCAAAAGGTTTCAATGTTTTGACCCTTTTCCTTACAAAATTATTATTTTGTTTTCATCCATAACAGAAAAAATTTCTTCAGTTTAAGCAACATTTGGTTTGATGTAATCGCGATACATATATTAGGACTCTACAAATAAAACCATGACTTAGGCATAATATAATCAGCTAGTCTATCCTAGGCTCGTAACTCCTTTGTACCAACCAAAACAATATTTGGTTCGACATTTTATTTTTTTGGTTAATGTAGTACTCTTTACGTCCCAGAAAAATAATTCATATTGAGTTTTTAAATTTATACTAAAATTAGTACAAATCTCAAAACTCAATGTAGTTTTTTTTTTTTTTTTGGGACGGAGGTTGTATTTTTTAAGTCAAAAATCTTAAGGGAAAGTATTATGTATAAACTATACACACACACATATATATATATATATACACATACTACATCCATTGCATGGGATTTATGGGCCAATCCCAGCAATGTTGAGAAGCGTGAACGAAGCTGGCTTAAATATAAGCTTAAAAAAAAGCTCAAGGCCTATAATCCTTAGATCATCAAAAGGGTTTCAAACCCAAGAGGCAACAGCACGTTATTCTATAAAAGAAAGGTTTCTTTCTTTTTGCTTCTTCCATTTCTCCGTAGATATGAAGACAGAACAGTGAAAAGAAAGTGTGTGTGTGTGTGAGAGAGAGAGATACAGAAAAAAAGAGAGGGAAAAAATAGTCAAAGCATCAGAAATATTGTAAACGCAGCAGTTGGCGTTTGTTTCTGGTAATGATGAAATTTCCAGCTGATTTTTTTTTTTTTTTTTATCAGAAAAGCTCGTGATGAGAATTCTGCACACCTCTTTTGTACATACATACAAACAGGCAGATATGATGATTCCTCAGTTCCATTTTATCCCTTCTTTTAACACCATTAGCCAATTGCATTATTTATCACTCATAATCCAGCAATTTTTTTAAATAACAGTCCCTATGTAGTAATAATTAGAATTCCGAAGTACCTATAGTCCTATTATATTACAACCAGTTCCATAATATTTTAATTATGTAATTTCGAAACCTCATTCCTGCTAACTTTAATTAGTTGATAAAAATTAAAAGTGGAAATAAAGCTAATAACAATGAAACGATAATCCATCAAACAAAGACTATAAATAAATTACTCTTACAAACAAAAAATTCTTCTAATTCATCTCTTCCGTCTCAAAATAAAATTCTTGTTTAAAGTGATAGCTTAATATGGTAACAAAGAATTTTTGTGCATTTTGACCTCCAAAAAGAAAAGGGCACACAAGAATTACTTTTTTATAAATTTTCTACTTCTACCATAATAATGGAAAAATCGCAGATGAGAAAAACTAACAATAAAAACGTAGTAACATTCTCCAAAGAAAGTCATTTTCATGATCAGCATCATCATCATCTCCTCCTTCAGTCCACCCGGCCCTTTTTAAGGAATTTTGCAGTCACCCCTTCTTTAATTCTCTGATTATCTTTCTCGTGAATCCTTTTTCCCCTTTCCTTCACTTATTACTCTCTCTCTTCTCTGTTCTTTTTATATTTCCACAACCATTTTCAAAATTCTAGTAAGTCCTATATGCCGCTTTTATTTGTTTTGATTCAAGAAAGACCCTTTAACTAAAAACTAGCTTTTGAGTTGAAAAAAGAAGTAATTTGGTAAGGACCCTTTTGGATATTTGGGAGTTTCAGAATCATGGGAAGTTGTGGAAGAAATGGGGGTGTAAGGCAGTACGTGAGATCAAAAGTGCCTCGTTTGAGATGGACTCCTGATCTTCATCGCTGTTTTGTTCTTGCTATTGAGAAACTTGGTGGTCAAGATAGTATGTCTTCCTTTTTTCTTTTTTTTTTCATCTTCTGTGATCTTTCATTTTTGGTTGTGGTTCATGATCATATAGTGTTTGTGTGTGTGGGTGTGTGTGTGTTTTGTTTTCTCTGACTTGATGCTTCTTTGAATTTGTAGAGGCTACTCCAAAACTGGTTTTGCAAATGATGGATGTAAGAGGCCTAACCATTTCTCATGTTAAAAGCCATCTTCAGGTTGAAATTTCTCATCCTCCATACTTTTTTGTTTTTCCTTTGAATGTTTTTGACCCTTTATCAAACTCTTTGTTGTACTTCCATTTTTGAACTGTTTATCCACTGCAGATGTACAGGAGCATGAGGATTGACGCTGCAAGACAGAGTATGTACATTTATTTCTTCCCTTTTTTCTCATATTTCTTTCCCAAAACAACCAAATTTTTCTGTCTCAAAGATCACCAGTTGTTCTGGAATGTGGAAATGTTCACATACTGTTTTAATGGTCTGAAATTTTCCTGTTGTTTGGAAAAAAAGATTTGCAGTGATTTCACTTCAGTGATTGTTTCTTTCCACATATGGTCTGTCAAACCATATTTCAACTGATCAAAGACCATCCTTTTAGATTTTCCAATCATAGCAACTACTCTAGATGTATGTGTTTTTATGGCTAGTATCAAAATATGGTCTTTTCAATGAAATCAAATGATGCAATTTTGCTTTGTCTCTCTTGAGTCTAATTTTTCTCCCTTTTCTTGTGCTTTACTTCAATGTGGAATGCAGCTGGTGATAGAATCATTCATCAACAACAGCAAAGAAAACCATCTTCTTATTATGATCATCTCCATAGAAGTGGTATTGAAAATGATCCCTTGGGAAGATCATATCCTCCATTCATTTACACTTCTCCACCAATGAAAAGGTATTCTTCTTCTGCTATGTTTTGTTTTTTTTTCTCCAATCTCGAAAAAAAAAATGGCATGAATCTAATATTATTCCAAAGCTAGCTATAACTAGGCTATATGGCAAAGCTAGGTGCTTTTCATGCATCAGTTGAATAATGTTCCTTTTGTTATTGAAAAATCTTCTTTAATCAGAGCAAGAATCGAGAAGATGGATGGTGCAAATATTGATGATGATCAGAAATGTAGCAGCAGCCAAGGAATTATTATTGATCAGTCATCATCAGTAGTAATAAATCCGTACGGTGATGACGAAAATGAGGAGAAGAGAATAATAATAATAAAGGAAAAAATTAGGCATGATGAAACATCAACTCCTCCTCCTCCAACAACAACAACAACAACAAGCTGCTGCATTCCTTTCTTTACTCTGTCCCAAGAAGAAAATCTGGTTCAAACCCTTAATCATCCATTGGAACAAGAAGAATCTCATCATCATATTTTCAAGGTACCATTTTAGCTGAATAGTAATAACCCCACTCTACATCATCTTTGGTTTCTTTTTTGAACAGCAGCAGCAGCTTTAAAAGAGTTGTTATAAGAAGGTTGAGTGCAATTTTGGTGTTTATAGGCCTAGCACAGTAGTACTACTACTAGCTGCTGCTTTCCATTGTGTTCAAACTCTCTGCATGCACTACTTTTTTTCTTTCTTTTTAGGGTTGCAATAGTAGCAATTTGCAGTGATGCTTATGCTTTTCCCTGACCAGTAAGTATATTTGCATGGATATCTATGCATATTTTCTTTCGCATTAATTGAAAATCTCTAAAGAGAGAACCTTTCATATTTATTAACCTACTTCAAATTTGTGTCTTCAAAATACAACCAAATGGAGAAACTAATGTATAACAACTAACAAGTCTTTGGGTTTTTTGGACTACTTTTCTTAAAAAAAGATTCAGTTCAATGAATTCATTGTGTAATTGTTTACTAGAGTACACAAACCTGAGATGAAATTTTGTGGGAAAAATAGTTTGACATTCTTGTGTATTGTTTGCTTTTTCCTCTGCACATTTTTGTCTGTTAGTGTCTTTACTTTTGTTTTTTTTTTTTGGCCTTCTTATCTTTGCTTAGGAAATGTTGAGGTTACTTTCAGTTTGTGGTGTGTCTTGTCATGTTCTTCAAGAAGTTTGGCATTTATGAATAGGATTCTGTTACCCATGTCTTTTCTTTCCTTCAATTCTTTTTTTTTAAAAAAAAAAACGCACAACAAATTTTTATCTAATTCCGAAACCACTTTTTAATAATATTCAGTAGAATTTTTTATTATTTATTATTGAATATTTAAATACCAATTACATAAAATTAAAAAGCAGACCAATTACATAAAAGGTGGTGTATTGGTACTAAGCAAGCAGTGACAATCGAGCCAAATTAGATCACCTAACAAAGTAATTTCCAAATTCATGAATCGAAGTTGTGTGGGTTGGTGGGAAATTATTGAAAGAAAAGGTTCTTTCTAGGGTTTGAAATTTGGGACCAAAAGGTTCTTTCTAATGTTGTGGCAGCAGCTGTTTTCCTTCCCTTTGATTTCATTGACATTGCAAGCGGAAAAAAAGTTACAAAATGATAGTTTTAATTCTCACTGTCAATTTTGGGTCTGGCCTAGACTTTGACAAAGATTTTTGTTATTAGTTGGTATAATTAGTGTTCTTTCGGTCCCAAAATATTTATCTTATATCCTAATAGTCATTTTTTTTGAGGTTGCGCAAGTAGAAAAAAAAATTATATGCAGCTCGGATTGAAGGTCCTCATTCCACACCAAACAGCAGATCATAATTAAAAAATCCAGAGCCATAAATATGGCTCTGTAGCAATACAGTACGAATAAAATTTGGGGAATGGCAGTAGTCTTCTTGATCATTATAGTATTCCCCTTGGGCCACCTATTTAATTTTAGCATTTTTCTCTTGATCGTACTACTCTTTTTCACTTCCATGTTTGCAGACTAAATTCAACATGGGGGCAGATCAGATATATTCATTATTGCCTCTTCTGGGTTGGAATTTTCACCCCCCCTATTTTAGCAACCCTGGAAAAAAAGAAAAGACATCTGTGGAAAACCATATCTAAATTACATGTTTTTAACTTATGACCACCACTCTGAACTAGATGGAAGGAATGTAACATTTTACTTCTTGTTTAACAGGCTACTGAAGAAGGGAAAGAATTTTTTGAACCGGAGGGAAGTCGAAAGCCGAAAATCAATGAGGGTGAAGAAGAAACTGAAGGGGAAAATGGGCTTTCATTGTCACTCTCATTGCATCCTTCAACACAGACCAGCATCAACATTTCTTCAGCTGGAAGTGAGATAAGCGAGGCCGCGAACTGTTGCCAGTATTCTTCGTCTAGGAATCAATATTGCTGTGACTACTTAGGTCTATCATCATCATCTTCATCATCTGTTACTGTTAATCTAGAGCTATCTATGGCATTATGATCATCTTTGGTACTCAATGATGTTTAACCTATTCTTTTTGCGGAGGAATGTAATATAAACTGATGAAAATTTGAACCAATTATTTATGCAACGTTTACTGACCAAATTGGTTTTATCAATCACCCCAAGTTAGGCTTATCAAATTCAGTTTTCAGGCCAAACTAGAAAACAGTAGTCAAAATTACAACTGGAACACAAAGCGTATTCCTGCTGCCTCTTTGTGTTATGAACTTTGAATATCTAAGATACGTTACAATATGAAAAAGGAACATTTTTTTTTCTTTCTTTACTTTAGACGTAATCTTCTTTCATTGTACCAAAATCTCCACTAAAAATCATTTCTTTTTATTGTAACAAGAGTACAAAACACTCTTCACTATTTCATTTTTAATACAATTTTAACTAAACCTAAAAATCTAACCTCAATAATAATTTGGGGACCGGGAGTATATGTTTATTGTAACAAACCACCCGTGCTATTACTAAAAAGAAGGCCCCCAATTTCTGAATGATTTTATCTTTAATTTTTTCCTCCTAAAAACAATTGAAATTTAACTAGTGGAGATTAAATAACTTTTTGAATGTTAATATGTAGTCTTCGGTCTAATTTATGTTTACTTTTCAATTTCAGAATATACAAATTCATATTCCTATTGTTTACTTTGGGTTAAATTCCCTTCCGCCAATGTTCCTTCAAGTTAAAAGGATTAATTTGATCATAAGTTAATTTTTGCTCTTGCCTAAATTTATGAACATATAGAAATTTTTTTTGGGTAGCATAAGGCCACAGTCTAAAAACTCCTTTTAGGTCTCTGAACGCTCGCAATCCCAAAGACTCAAACCTCGCTTTAGGACTCTCAACAGGTTGAGCCTCAGCCTCAAGCTAAAATACATTATCTAAAAGAACCCATATTTCCCCTTAGATTTATACGTGTTTTATTGTAACAAAAAAATATATATATAAAAAAGAATTATTTCTTTTTATTAATACTAGTGTGTGTCCCGCGCTTTGCGCGGTTTTGTCAATGTTGAAAATTTATATTTCAAAAGAATTGATTAGATAATATAGTTACAAATATACCGTCCTTATTCTCTTAAAAAAAATGTAGTTACTAATATTTCTTAAAATTATAATATTTTTTTGATTAATCAGTTTTAGATCAAAATGAGAGGTATTGATATTATTTATGAGAGGTATATTTATAAGATCTGGTAAAAAATATTACAACAAAGATTTTCAAAAGTTGTATAATAAAAATTGTCACCACTAATTAATGTTATGTTTGGTTTAAAAAATATATTTAAAAATTACTTAAATTATGTCTAGATACATATGGCCTATTTTTATAGGCAAGTGGACTTTGAGGAATTAGATGTAGTTCTAATAAAATATGAGACACAATTAATCGTCCTTGAAAATGTAACATCGATAAACTTGAAAACTAAATAGCATGCAAATGGAAATTTAAGGACCAAAATGACAATAGGTTGAAAGCTTAAACTCGTAAATGAAAGGACTTTTGAAGTCGGGAGTTTCTCAGCAATTTTCAAAAATATTCATTTTCAAACTCACAATTAAGAATTTGTAATATCTGTAAAAATCTTATATACTCCCTCCGTCCCACAAAAAATAGTCCAGTTTGAAACTGTACAACTTTTTTAATTTGGTCGACACACCAAATGTACAACTCATTTCATTTCCCTAACTTACACTAATGCCCTTTCTAGTTATTTCTATAAAAGTTAACTATATATGCATTTATTTTACAACTTAAATTTGATCAAAATTTTTATCTCAAAAAATATTGACAATGGATCTTGATGGAAAAATCTCGTTACGTAGATTATTTTGATATATAACACATTTTTTAATTATTCATGTATTAAAAGATATAATTATTTAAAAAAATAAGAGAAAATTAAAAAAAAAATGAAAATCAAATGACGTGTACCTTGTTTTTCATACCATTACTCTTTTGGATATTTAAGTCATTTCAATTCAATGAATTTTGACTTTTGTTATACTGGACTATTTTTTTAGGACAAGATTTTTTATTAAATTAGATTATGTTTGTGGAATGGAGGGAGTAGTAAATAATTTATTAACTATTTACAAAAGATTTTAACTGATTAATAATCAACCAAATAGCAAATGACACGTATTAATTGAGACTTGATGGTCTCAATGAGCGACACATGTCGATTATCTTTCTTTCCTTTAATATATATAATGATTTAATTATTATTTAATTTCTTAATTACTGAAAAATCAGAAGTCAAGTTAAAAGAAAAAATACCTTGACTTTTAATAGTCGGTTGGACGGAAATGCTTATAAAAAGTCAAAAAAAAATATTATTTATTTTTGCCGAAATGGGACGAAAATGCACTTCTTCAAATGCAGAGGACAAAAATATTTGGCCTAAATTTATAGCACGTTTTATGCAGTTTAGTGTACCTGACACTAACTGACTTCAAGTCCCTCAAGTCATTAACTTTAGCTGCTAGTGTCGATATGGTTGGGGCTACTAATTTTTTAATTAATAATTTTCGTTCTCTTGAACGCCTGGTAATCTGTAGTTCAAGCTCGAAGGATTTGTCAAGTGTCATAATTCGTGGTACATCACTAAAATATCTAGAGTTAACCTATTGTCGTTATTTGCTCTCCATCGCTGTGTGCGATTCCTCCCATCTTGCCTCGCTTAAGATTACTCCGGTGTGTAATTTGGTGCTTGAAAATGTCCCAATGCTTGTGGTTGTATGGCTTATTGATTACTCTTCCGTCGTCTCAGAATTATTGTCCAATTTAGATTTTTATTTTTAGTACAAATTAGACGAAACGAGAGAAATGGCTAGTATACGGAGCGAGTATTTTTAGGTACAAGTTATACTAAAAATAAAAATTTAAATTGAACAATAATTTTGAAACGGAACGAGTATATAGGAAGGGAAATGGTCCTACAGCTATCCGGCCTCCTTTCAAGATTGGAGATTCTTACCATCAGTGTGGCGCCTTTCGATTTCGAAGAGGTTAGGGTCTCAACTTCTTGTGTGAAATTTGGTAGTATTCCAGTAGTATTGATGTTTTATTATCTATCAATTTATGTGCTTTGTTCTTTCGGTTTTGGTTTACTATCCTATGAAAAAGAAAGAAAGGTGTCTTATGGTTCCCCAACTAACTAGGTTGAAGCAATTAATCTTGAATGTTGGTGCATGGAAAGATGAGAGACTAATTAAGTTGACTTCTCGTATTTTTGAGGTCAATCTCCTAACAAGGTATTGGAGGTATGCTATTTCTTGTACTGTGTATTAGCAAGAATTATATGCCCCCATTTGGACCGTGATCTCAGAACTGTCTGTGTGGATTTGTGTTTTCAAAAAACAATGTTGTTCTGTGATCACTTCAAAAACGTGTTTTGCAGCTAATGATATTCAATGGTGCCGGCAGAAAACATATGTTTAGTTCAATAAAATCAGGTTTTCTCAGTGTTGGAATGCTTTCCTTTCCTATTTTCTTTGGGCTTCTTTGGAGACTGTTTACATTAAATGAATTCTAACTCATCTTTTGCCTCTTGTCTTGCTTTTTTTCTTCTTCTTCTCAGTTATATTGGGGAAGGTGTGTTGATTGGAGTGGAAGAAAAATGGTGGGAAGTGTCAAGTTTTCCTCTCCAGCATCTCAAAGTTGTTGAGTTTCGTGGATATTATGGCCGTACAGCAGCAGATGATGAACTTGTCATGTACTCCCTCCGTCCCATAATTATTGTCCAGTTTGAGTTTTCATTTTTAGTTCAAATTGTACAAAAAGTGAAATCTCAAACTGGACAATAATTTTGGGACAAAGGAAGTACTTTCTAGAAATTGGCATTGCACTAGAAAGAAGAATCCTAGATCCTCATTGCCAGATTTTTTTACTATCGCCGACGTATCAAAAGATGTCAAGAGGCAAAGCCTGCTAAAGAAAGAGCACTTTTAAGGGTTTGATTCCATCATGTGTTGAGTTAGTTATACTATAGAGTTTCTCCTAGCAGCTTCTCCTTGGTTTCCTTTGCTTATGTGAGTTATCAATAATTTGCAAATTAATCTTAGAAACTTATAATCATTTCTTCATCAGTTGCTGTTAATCTAGATCAATCTACAGCATTATGATTTTTTGATATGATGATGTTGAGCCAATTCTTTATGCACTCCTACTGACCAATTGGGTTTACGTCCCAAGTTGGGGTTATAAAATTCGATTTCCTAAACAATGGTCAAAATTACAAGAGGAAAATAAGCGTAAAACCTGCCTACTTGTGCTATGAACTGTGAAAAATCAACCAAACGTGAAGTCAGAGAACCAAAAATAATCACTTCTTTTTCTTCTCATTCCCAGCCTTACCATCATGGACCAATGCTTTGATACATAGTCGCGGTTTTACACTAACAAGCATTTGCGGAAGAACAGATACTCCAACCATGACCCTCTCGTTTGGTATCCCAGACAGTGGCAGAACCTCAACCAGCACAGCAATCTGAGAAAGAGATTCTTGCACTGTTAGCACATCAAAATACATCTCACCCCTAAAGATGAGAAAGAGAACAAACTTCTTGTTAGTAAGCTGAGATTCTACCTCTGGGCACTTCAGATTCACAACTGAATCTGGAATGACTTCTTTGACAGCAGCTGCCACAATGCTAAAACATTTGCTGCGGTCTAGCAGAGCTGACCCATTGGAACCACTTGACGTTTCGTGGACACGCTTCATCTCATTCTCCTCAATGCCTCTGCTACTATAACCAACTGCAAACTGTAAAGTCATGAATTATGTAATCATTCCTAGCATATATGTATTTGAAATGTTGAAATTTTACTTTTATTATTCTCTTCTGCTCGTTAATATAACCACAGGTGGAGAAGAGTTATGTAGTCATTCAAAACTCCTAGCATATAGTATAGACATTATCCTTAATACGACCAGTTGTTTTAAGGTTGAGACCTACCTTTACTGGCTCTGCAACTTTGATCCTTTCCTCTGTTACAAACTGTTGAACTAGCTTTGAAACAACACTGTGTAATTCCTTCTCCTCCAAATTACAAGTAGATTGGATGGGGAATATTCGATGGCACCATCTACACAACATGATGGAATATAAATTTGATAAACAAAGACAAATTACTGAATAACTAATGAATGACGCACATGAACAAATCAATAGACTTGACCCTCATACTTACTGCGGTGACTTGAGACTCCCGCTCTCCCTGGACTCAATGATTTTGGATACAATATCAACAACAGCTGGGCCGTTATCCTTCGGAAAGATGAAGAGAAGCAGACCACTCCGTATCAACTTAACAAGAGAAAGAAAACTACTTGTTTCGTTATCACTAGTTCTTGATTCCGTTTGTGAACCTGGATGCAATGGAAAAGAACTTTCTTATTTTTCCCAACCGTTAACAAGTTTCATTCACTTATCTAAAAAAATAAGAAAAATTAAACAAAATCACGCAGATTCTGGAAGTACACTACACATTATAAGATACTGGATTTTCATTCAAATTTTTCCCAAGTGAAACCATATCGAAGCCGTGCATCTAACTGCAAGATTGTATGACAGTTTTGAGCAACTACCTGGTAGTACACATTTCCCATCTTTGCTCTCCGTATCACTGTCAAGTACATTCTCAGTGCTTCCACAGATTCTCCTACGCTTTGTTGAGATTTTAGGATCCAGACTTTTGGAACCTTCTTCATTCACATCAGATAAAGGTAAGATGTACTGCAAAAATTGTTGGATGATATACAGTCAGCATTCTTTTCAGGGACACAAATCACTAGAGCTTGAAAGAGAAGGCATATACTATGCATGAACAGGATAATATGTAAGATTTACCAAGCTAAGCTCAATTTTACCAAACATGCTCTTGACGAAAGAGGACAGCAGAGTTATATAGTCGAGATATTTGCATAAGAATAATATTTGCAAAATTAATACTAAGAGAGATACGAATAAATTAAACGCATGCAATCTGAAGCAATATGGATAAGACTACACTAAGGCGATTGTATGCCATTTGTAAACTAAAGAGGAATGAGCATATGAAATGCTGTCAAATACATGCTACCACGAAACACTTGATGTCGAAAATGCATTACATCAGCATATTAAAGGCACCACATTCAGCTTAATAACAAAAGAACAAGATTAAAAGCCTATTTCTCAAATTAACGATGTTGAAAAAGAAGCCAAAGAAAACCCTAGGAATCCCGAGAAATCTCCTACATTTCCATGTTGTATCAGATAATCACGAACATAACAAGAGTTGAAAATAACCTTCTCAAAAATTAACATGGCTTCTTTTGTTGCGCTTTTCTCCCTCTCTACAAAAGCAAAGAAACATTATTATCCATACAGAATCACCAAAAGAATTTAGATGCACCAATGTAGAGAAGATGACATTTAATTTAATTGAAACGAAATTTAATGAATACCTATATGTGTATAAAAAAGAATAGACGCGTTAGAATATCTCTCACTTAACTCTAAAGAAGTTCTCCAAACTTAATCCTAAAGGACTTCTCTACAGCAAACCAAAAAAACAAGCAGCCAGATAACGACTACAAAGCTCATTCTTTCATCAGCAAAATTCAGGACGAAGAAGGAAAAGGTGAGCAAATTTTTGGTCGTTTGAAGCAAATCCACAATAATTTCGTCATATTCCCACCATAAGCAAATACTAATTTCTTCTAATTATTGTCTCAAAGTCATTAAATCATGCTCATCCAAGTAAAGAAATGGCAACAATATACACGTTAATATACAAAATCGATACCAAAAAAAAAATAAAGCTACATAGAAGCTAAAAGATTCGAACGGTGAGCAAGCAGGAAAACATGTTTTAAACGAACAAAATCAAAAAAAAAAAAGCGAAAATCACCCGAAGAAAAGGGAGGAACTAAAAAATCTTAACTGATTGGGCAGGTAACAAGGAAACCAGAGTGAGAATGATTGAGGATGGAAGAAGGGGCATTGTAATCAAACCGGGGGATGCTAATCACAGCTGAATGCTGCTCCCATGGCTTCATATCCTCTTTAGCTTTCAATTTGATTTCTTCTTCTCCTTCTTTTTCTTTGATTGGCAACTGTACAACGTCATCATCAGATGGTTTTTGTTCTACTCTCAAAGCTCCCGTGTCTGTAGCCTTTACTTGACTAATGTTTTCAGCCATTCATTAGTAGTGTTCGTAGAGTTCTTTCGATTTTTGAAGTTAAAAACTCCACAACCTCGTACACCCTACTCTTTTTAAAAGGAGAGACGACGAAGAAGAAAACCCAGTTACCATCCCTTTTTTATTTTCATCTCAGTTTTCCGAGTAAATTGCATTTAGCCCCCCCAAAGTCCAAGCTTTTAGATAAAAATAAAAAATAAAAACACCACATTGATTAATTCTTATGAATACACTAGTAATATCTTTTTCCCTCCATCAGTTACTTTTAAGATTGTTCATTCGAAAATAAATGAATAAATCGAGAAATCCTAAGTTTGTTTTAGGTTTTTTTTTTCTTTCCGTATTGCAGGGTGTCCATAGTAGCAATAGTGACTGATCATGGTAAGTTTATATAAGTGTATTAGTGAAATCAAAGCAAATTGTTCAAGAGCCGAGTAAAATCTATGGTGTACACAACGAAAGTATAATATTGAACAAATCCAAGTAGGTAAATTGTACGCCGGCGAACTCCATATAACAATGAAATCTGTGGCGTGAAACAACTATGTAAGCTATGTAAATCTGTGTGAAGAACCGTTTCAGGGTCCTTTTATTTTTGAGATGTTTTAAGCTTCAGCAGCAGCTGCTGTGATTTTCTTTTACTGTTGTATGTATATTCTATACGCTACTGTAGAATATACTTGCAAGTATATTCCCGCTTTAATCAGTTTGTATTTTGAAAATGTCTTCTTTTCACCTGCTCTTTCAAGAATCAACATCGTTATTCAAGAGATAGACATCATATTTAGTTGCAATTTTACTAGGATACCGTCGAATCAATGCGAAAAAAAAAACAAAACAAAAAAAAACAATATACTTGCAAGAATAACAACAGATCCAGAGAAAAATAAATTACGGAGTACAATCTAGAAAATCTTAAGATAGTCTCAAGGTTGTAAGGCTTGTCTGGTTCACATTTTTCATTCCTCAAGGTACTAAAAATCAAATCACGGAGAACCATCTTCACTCCTCCATGGCATCTCCACCTTCGATGACTTCCACTTTCTCCCTTAATGGGGTAATCTTTGTCATCAGGACCTCTGAAATCACAGCAATTGTAAGATTATAAATACCAGTTCTCCAAATTTTACCCTTCCAGACGTACAAATAAAGTAAACATAGACGGGAAGGAAATACAAACCTGTCTTCTTAGTAAAGGAGTACCCTTTCTCACTGACATAAGTCCGAGGATTAGGCATCTCGTAGTTTCTAAGGTACTTCTTACCGCTCTGTAAAAAGTCAACCAGTCAGCCATAAGCCAAAGAAAGTTAATTAGTAAAAGGGTTACACTGATCTTGAATATCCTCGCACAGTCACACTCTAAAAGAAACAAACCTTGGTCAGTACGCATATGTCTACATTGCTTCCACTTCCCAGATCGTTGAAAATACCAGAGCGAATGGCTTCTGCTACTAGTTTCACTCCTTCCTCCTCCTAAAAGAACATATTGCTGATTACTATTCACCATCAAGAGAAGAAATTTCAAGAACCCAAACGGTGGAAGTTAACTTACAGTTAGTCCCTCACGGTATTTGGACTCAAACACAGCCATGGCGGCAAGTGAACCAGATCCCATGGTTGCAAAGGGTAGAGTATCTGTGGAGCCATGAGGATAGATCTGGGAAACAGGGTATTGGAGAAAGTTAATTAAGGAAAATGACCACTCAAGTTCCCATATTAAGAAATGAAACAACAAAAAGAACTCACAGTATGCAAATGTGGCCCAGTCACATCAACTCCACCAAGAACCAATGCAGCGGAAACATATCCTTGATAACTGATACATTAACCAGATAAAAACATGCTAAGGTTATCTTCCAGTAGATTATCAACCATCAAGCTTAAAACAGCTGCTTTCAAACTGACCTGAAAAGATGAGACTTCAACAGCGTGAGTGCAGTCACGACTCTGGACTCACGGCGAGTGTGATATCTGTGCAATGTGAGCTGTGAACTCACCATATCTAGATAACCAACAAGAGAAAGGAAATATTAGATGAAACATACTTCCCAAGCCATAACAGAATATATTTGAGAGGTAACAAAAAGGGATTCGGCCATATATCTCCAAGGAACTGATAGTCCAACCAAATATTGGTGGTTCAACTTAAAATGAACACCTATGACCTAGTTCTATCACATAGATATTGCACAGAAAATAAAAATTTCATAAAATACCTGTCACTGCCTCTGTGTCTGCAGCCGTGCCAGCTCCGCAACAATATATGTTTGGAGCAATGTAATGGATTTTCTCGCAGTTTTTGTCAGCAACAATAGGTCCTTCAGTTGCTCGTGTGTCTGCCCCCAGAATAACGCCATCCTGAGAAGTTATGAGAGCAAAAGGATTCATTAAAGCACATTCAGATACGCCAAACCAAAATCAACCATCTATGGTGTAATAAATAGTCTAATTGGTTCTCTTTTTTATATTATCCTTCTTTTTTTCATCTCTTTCTTTGCTTTTTCAATGAAAGAACACTGAACCAGAGTAGACATTTTGTTCATTTTATTAATCATGTTTCTGCCCATCTACCCATCGAAGTTCAAAACTTGGGATGCATATTGATATGCAAATGGTTTTTAACGAATGTCACATTTATAATTCATCTCAATATGACATTTAATTAAGGTAAATTCTTCATCTCCTTTACATAGATATGCAAAGGCCTTCATAATATCATACCATGTGATGATGTATCTCAATCCTAACTAATCAAGTATAAAAGCTCCATCCCTATGATGTGAACATGCAAAGACCCTCAAGAAGATAAACTAGGAATTGGAGTGTTCAGATGAATTCAGCATGTCTTTACAAACATGTCAATTGTCACGACATTTTTTATGCATACATGTTTAAATTCCATCAGCTAAACTCCATGCCAACACCCACAGCAACAAGTTCACACACATGTATATGCTTATAACTTTATAGAACTAACAATGAACACATACTATATACTGCTTTTGAATCAAAATATAATAAGCATCTGCACACAGCATCCACGTTAACAAACCAAAAGCATTGTCAAACATAAAACTGAACCAAATGATAAGATCATCCAAAACCTGGGATACTCGACTAATCCAAGTGAAAAAATAAAAGACTGACCGACTTTTAACATACCTTGAAAACCAATCCCACAATAGTAGTTCCGGTCTTCAGAAAAGAAGGGCCCTTAAGACCCTTTTTGACAAGCATCTCATTCCTTCTGCACAAATCGAAGCTAAAGCCACCTTTTGGAGGTCCGTCCATCTTTAAGCTGATCGAAAAAAATCAAGTAACACAAAAAATCAACTAGATGTAATCTCCAAAGGGTCATTAGGATCAAACTGTTCCAAAAAAAAAAAAAAAAAAATTGACACAGAAAAGCGGCAAAATAAACTCGAAACCGAGTTCCAAAGCAACCAATGTACGGAACTGCAGGCACGCCTAAGAACAATTTCAGCTCAATACTTCGAAAAGACTGAAAACAAATTACGGTCATCATGGATCAAGGCCTACGGGTGATAGGACGGATACAGTAGATTGAATTGGAAAAAAAAAATCTTCATACTTTTCAGGATTTGGAAGAAACCTACCCAATCGCCATTGGAATTAAAACAACAAAATTAGCTCAAAAACCCTAAATAGATAAATTGCACATAGCCAACAGAAGGGGAAAATCACTGAGAGGATTAGAGTGAAGTAAGGGTTATGAATTACCTGTAAAACGGGGCACAATGAATATATATACTAGGAAAGTCGAATCGTCGGCGAGTGGGCGGAGATGAATCGGAGCAGAAGCCGATCTTTTGGTCTGTCTAATTTGGTCGCTTCACTGAGGCGTTTATTTTTATGGGTTTTAAATTTATAGCGTGCCCTTTTTCTTTCTCTTCAAGAAGCCCGTCTTTTATTTTTTTATTTATTTTGGGTCAAAAATTGGTTTTATTTTGGTCTAACTATTTTTTCTAAATTTAAATCCCAAGTCCAAGTTGTAGTGAACTTTGTACTTTCCTCTTCCCATTTAATTTTTGTGTTTGTTGCTAATTATTCCCTTCCGTCCTTATCATAAAGCATTTTGATTTGTCATAGGTTTTACTTTTTATACTTTTTCAATCCCTAATAATTAGAAGGACACAATGAATCTAAAAATAAATTTTTAAAGTTTTTTTAATAAAAAAACATACTAAATAAAATTTAAACAAATCAAAATACCTTATAATAAGGACCGGAGGGAGTAGTATTTTGGAGAAGCAGTTTTGTATTGATAGCATTATTAACATTGTATTTTTATTTTAATACACCCTCCAGTCCTTAATATAAGGCATGTTGATCCTAGGTTTCACATAATACGCATTTTTAATTGACAAAAAAACCTTAAAAATATATTTTCACATTCGTTCTATTCTCTTGATTGTTATGAAATGTTTTTAAGGTTTTTTTATCAACTGGTGTGTATCCCGCGCTTTGCGCGGTTTTGTCAATGTTGAAAATTTATATTTCAAAAGAATTGATTAGATAATGTAGTTACAAATATACCGTCCTTATTTTCTTAAAAAAATGCAGTTGCTAATATTTCTTAAAACTGTAATATTATTTTGATTAATCAGTTTTAGATCAAAATGAGAGGTATTGATATTATTTATGAGAGGTATATTTGTAAGATCTGGTAAAAAATATTACAACAAAGATTTTCAAAAGTTGTATAATAAAAATTGTCACCACTAACTAATGTTATGTTTAGTTTAAAAAATATATTTAAAAAATACGTAAATTATGTCTAGATGCATATGGTCTATTTTTATAGGAAAGTGGACTTTGGGGAATAGATGTAGTTCTAATAAAATATGAGACACAATTAATCGTCCTTGAAAATGTAAAATCGATAAACTTGAAAACTAAATAGCACACAAATAGAACTTTAAGGGCCAAAATGACAATAGGTTGAAAGTTTGAACTCGTAAATGAAAGGACTTTTAAAGTCAGTAGTTTCTCAGCAATTTTCAAAAATATTCATTTTCAAGCTCACAATCAGTAATTTATAATATCTGTAAAAATCTTATATACTCCCACCGTGCCACAAAAATAATCCAGTTAGAAATTGTACAACTTTTTTAATTTGGTCAACACACTAAATGTAGAACTCATTTCATTCTCCTAACTTCCACTAATGCCCCTTCTAGTTATTTCTAGTAAAAGTTAACTACATATGCATTTATTTTAAAACTTAAATTTGATCAAAATTTTTATCTCAAAAAATATTAACAATGGATCTTGATGGAAAGATCTCGTTACGTAGATTAATTTGATATATAACACATTTTTTAATTATTCATGTATTAAAAAGATATAATCATTTGAAAAAATAAGAGAAAACTAAAAAAAATGAAAATCAAAGGAAGTGGAACTTGTTTTTCATACCACTACTCTTTTGGATATTTATGTAATTTCAATTCAATGAATTTTGACTTTTGTTAAACTGGACTATTTTTTTAGGATAAATTTTTTTATTAAATTGAATTATTTTTGTGGGACGGAAGGAGTAGTAAATAATTTATTAACTGTTTACAAAAAATTTTAACTGATTAATGATCAACCAATTAGCAAATGACAATTGTTAATTGAGGCTTGATGGTCTCAATGAGCGACACGTGTCGATTATTTTTCTTTCCTTTAATATATGTAATGATTTAAATACGTACTAGATTAAACCTAAAATAAATCAAAATGCCTTTTGTTAAGGACCGCAGGGAGTATATAGTATAAGATTTCCTTTTTTGCATTTATGTTTTACTACTAAATTTATTTTACAGTTTCAATAGAGTTATACTTAAAATTATTTTTAGAAACTTGAATTTCATCAAAAGATTAAAGTAATGGAATAGTTCAAAAAAATTTATTTATTTAAAATATAACTTTGGTAATCTTAAAATTTTATTTTTCCCGTGCGAAATGATGATCTAGTATCACTTGATACAAATGACGAGCTTATGAGGTCGTGTCTTTGTTGAACCGGGATAATTCAAAATTGTATAATTTCTTAGAAAGTTTAATTTTTATTTTTTATAGAAAAAACCACCTTGATAAACTCCACTTAAATATTTATATCTTTGGTTTTTTTGGGGTGGTTAATTTTTATATCTTTGTTAGAAAAAATGAAGCGGTTTCTATCTTTAACCCGATGCAGAACCCACGAACCGGGTCGTCTTACTGCCTTATTGGGGACAAAAGTGTCATTAAGCCTTCATCTCTATGAACTGCTTCAACTGGATTCGAGTTCCAGCTTTCCGTTTCTCTTCCTGTCTCTCTCTCTCTCTCTCTCTCTCTCTCTCTCTCTCTCTAACGATGGCTTTAGTTCCATTTTCAGCACCGCCACTGTATCCACCAGCTCCACCGTCATGCCGTGCTTCATTTTACCGTGGCGTTTCTCCTTTTTATTACTGCCACTATAATTGCCCAACCAAATTGGATTCCTTATCAAGCCGTCAATTGAATTCCGGTGGCGGTTTAATAACGAATGCCGGGAAAACTGCAAATTCATCAGTTTCCGAAATTAATGGAAGGATTTCCGGTAGTAATACGCCGGAGATAATGGATTACGTCGAGGTGTTCGGAATTGGAAGTCGGAAAGACGCCGTATTCGACTTCTGTTTGAACTCGCAATTCCTTTCCCCTGCTTTGCGTTTCTGGTAAACTACGTTTTTATTGCTTGCCTTTTTATCTTTATATATTACATGCATTTTGGAACGTACATTGTTGAATGCTTGTTTCGCTTGGAGCGAATCCATCTCTGATACAGAGTTTAGTGATATCTAAATGAATTAGAGTGTATTTTTGGAAAAGAAGAGGCATTTTGGTTGCATCAAATTCTTATATCATCAGTTTGCTTTCAGTGAATTTTTAAAAGCTTATTATCCATGTAAGACCAGCATCTTAATAAATATGCATTACTTAGACATGATTGATTGAATAAACTCATGTAACTTGAGGTTTTAAATGTACTGCAGGAATATTCTTGTGAAGGATGAAACAAAGGTGCAGTTGCAGCAGAGGTTTCCCAGTCAAGGTCTTCACTTAGTATCCATCTAGCTGAAGATTTTTTATATCGTTTCCATTTGTTTTATCAGTACTTATCCCAGCCTTCCATCCCCCCAAAATTAAAAGAATACTGAGTTGTGTTAACTGCTCCCTTGCAGATATAACTTCTGAAGTTACGGAAGCTTCGACAAATTGCTGGCCATGTTCAAAAGCATTTGTCCTTGTGAGTACATCCTTCCTCTCTGGTGTTTTTTTTGCACATTTAAATAGAACGAACTTTTTCTGTACATGCTGTGATCTACATGTTCTAATTTGGCGTTGGCTGTGAGGTTTACAGAATAATTAGCGATGCAGGAGCAAAGTAGTACCCTGTTACTATGTAAAAGCTGTTTTTTCCCCCTACATAGTGGTGATGTGTACTTATTTTAATTTCTTGTTTCATTTTATCCCTAGGTGGCTAGTGCAGCATATGGCAGTGATGATATTGCAGCTCTTGATATTCTTAGGGCAGCAAAATCAAAGAAATTCTTAGTAGTTGGCATAATTCTAAGGCCTTTCGACTTTGAAGGACGAAGACGGAAAGATGAGGTATTGTATTACTATGATGGTAATATTTTCAGATAGTCAGCTATGTTGTTTGTCTCTTGAGTTGATTCGGCAAAGCTTGTCATCTCTTGAATTTCTATGCTTGGGAATCTTTGGGGCACTTAATGCAGTTTTGAAAAGCCCATTTGTCTCCACGGGTTGAAGTGATGCATATTGACACACTCATGTTGCACTAACTGTATACACTTTTCTTAGGTGATGAAATTGGTGGATGTTATTAAGGAGCAAGCTGATTTCTGCATTGGTGAGTAGCTTATCTCTTGAGTGATGGGAATGCATGACTGGTAGCAGCATTTCATTTTGAGTAACACCCCCTTCTCTTGTTTAAAACATTTAAAGAAAAGAAGATAAATAAAGTAATGTTAGTGGATCATAATGGACTATTCATCAATGAATTTTGTTTGAATCATCTACGGTTTTCTGTATGCATCTCTCTGGTTCTTCACCCAGACAAATCTCTCTACTCATTTGTTATCTTGATCCTGCATATTAAGCTGGCTTGTATTTTCGTTCAACTCATTTTGCATCTATTTTCTGAACTCAAAGGGAAATTAGATTCTTTTGGCTATTTTACTGGTTTTGTTGTCCCACAATTATGGCATATTTTTGAACTGCTGAATCATCTGTGATAAGTCCCTGATGTGACTTACAGATGTTGATACCAATGCGCTTTTGGATAATGATATGGTGACCCTTGATGAAGCGGTAAAGATGATGAATAACGCTGTCCTAATGGCCACAAATGCCATACCCATTCTCATATCAGTAAGCTTATCTTTTGATCTTTTCTTGTAGTTATCACATTTTCTACACAAGTCTGTTCAAGAAGTTTCTTATGCATGTAGCCCTATCTCCTTTACTTTCTTTTGAAAGGAAAAGCATGTAAAGCTTCAACATGCAACACATAATGGTAGTGGAGTACAGACAGCTGCCGAACTTCAAAAGGTAAGTGGCTAGAACGTCTTTTTCTTGTTTTTTAGTCTCTGGTTCCATGCTGCTTTCTAATGTTCAGCTGGGTAGTTAGTTTGCACTTAGTAACAGACAGATTGTTTCTTTTGTGTGGTTCTTTTTGTTTCGATACCACAATAACCTGATGAAACTTTTTGCAGATCCTGAAAGACCACAACGAAGCAAAAATTGGGTTTGGAGCTGGTTTTAGTGTAAAAAGTTCAGTAATCCAAGCTGTATATGACTGCCCCTTCCTAAATGTTGGTGTGAAGGTTAGTTCAATTATAATCTAGATACTAATTAGCTTTCTGTGCCTTTTTAGTTATTCTTGCTTGTTCAATTGCATTTTATGGTAATGGATTTTTGTAGTTGTGATGCGGAAATTTCACCTGAGAATTTTGTTCATTGCAATGTACTGATCGAGATCGATGGCGACATATGATCCGTACAGCTGACCCCACCTAATGGGAAAAAAGGCTGGCTGTTGTTGTTACTGTGTTGTTGTTCTAATGTGTGATTCAACTTGAGCCTGAATTTTCTTTTGTTTCCCATAAGCACAGGACTCCAGCGGTAAAGTCATATGCATTCTTGCAAGTTCAGGCATCATTGATGACCAAGACAGTGCTACTATTTCGCAAGTTGTTCACACAACCATAGGTTGTAGGGAGGAAGTGATTGTATCTGTAGTCTGTGAGCCAAAACTTGAGCTGAATCTGATTAGGACAACAATTTTAGCATTCGGGTAAGGTTCCTCGCATCAGTAAACTTTTGTTGCGTGTTTTATCATGCCTTCCTGTCATGTTTGATGGTTTGTTATGTTGCCATTGCAGCTGTCTGAAGCAGCAGCCCAGTAAAAAGAGTGGCATAATCTCTAGACTAGCCCAACATTTTCCTTTCCTTTTCAGTATCTTGAATAAGCAGTCTCCACAACCTCAAAACACTAAAGGAAATATATCTGAATACCAGCATGCGTCGGGAGATAAATCATTGGAAGAATATGATCCGGTACTGAGTAAAGCCCACTTCGATGGTATCTCTGAAGATTACAGTGCTCAAACGATTTCACCCTTACAAAGCAATCGTGACAAAGACACATCTTTCAGGTTTCACCCTTCCTGTCCCACTCTCACTCTCAAGGGGTTTTGAGGTTGCATTTTACAAATTTTCCAACTTCTTTTTACTTTTAGGAGATATGAAGGTGCGTTGGACGGAAGTGACATTGAATTTTCCAATACTGACTCAATTCCTTTACCTTCCCTGCAAAATGCCCAAGGTCTCAACTCTTTCGTTTTATACTTTTACATGTGTAATTATATTGGTTGCAATTATATGTTATCTATACAATTCGTTCTAGATAATCAACATTACACTTGCACATTTTTCTTAGATCAGGAAACTAAATGGCTATTTTCAATGTCTTAGGAGCACCTCCTTTTGAAGGGAACTTAATCACTAAAGACCATGTTGGAGCAGATAATCAGAATTTCCTGGTTTGGACCACAGAGGACGCTCCTGATACTGAGGCTACTCTTCTACCTGATAGCGTGAGCATCTACAGACTTCCTGTTGGTGTGAAGAGTTCGCAAATTTCGGAGGAGTTTTCCGCTAACATTAGTCGTCAGAGAAAGCAGAAAGATAGCAGCAGGAAAATTCTGTCAGATACTACTCCGAGTGTGTCTTGGGATGGTATAACTGACAGAGGCCTCGAAGCTACCATGAACTTTATTGATCTGTCAAAATCTAGAAAAAGAAATAATGCCATTGACTCTAATAAGCAAGGAGCTCTTTCCAACCGGGCGGCATCAATGCTGGAAGCTGAACGAGATTCACCAAACAAGAAGTGGAGCCCTGTTCTGGAAATTCAATACAGGGGAGGGATCTACCGTGGTCGCATCCAAGGAGGACTTCCGGAAGGTAAGGGGTGTCTTTCTCTTGAAGATGGAAGCATATATGATGGCATGTGGCGCTCTGGTAAACGATCCGGCTTGGGTACATTATACTTCAGCAATGGCGATGTTTTCCAAGGATCATGGAGAGATGATGTTATGCACGGCAAGGGTTGGTTCTACTTCCATACGGGAGACAGGTGGTTTGTGAATTTCTGGAAAGGTAAAGCAAATGGGGAAGGACGATTTTACTCAAAGCTAGGGGATGTGTTCTTTGGTCACTTCAAAGATGGATGGCGGCATGGCTATTTTCTGTGCATTGGCGTGGATGGGACAAGGTGGCATGAGGTGTGGGAAGATGGTGTACTTGTTAGCCGCAAGCAGCTGTTTGCTGGTGACAATGGCGTTGCTTAAGCTCTTTTGACCTTTCATTCAAAATTGTTTCCTTTGGCTTAACGTTTTCTGGTTCTCGGTTTTGGCTCGCTTGTAGCTCTATGCGGGAGGGAGTAAAGAGAACCAGTCTTTAGTCACAGCTCTTGCAGAACGGCAGCCACAGTTTTTGTTTCCCAGCTACGAGCAGTGCCATTGTTCTGCCCAACATGTACAGAAATTATTTTGGTATATCAACTTTGTGCACATAGGATAGGATAATGATTACTAGTATAGAATGCCTGTTTCAACATGTAATCGAGAAATGGCATCAATGTAAAGAAAGATGGTTCGCGGGAATTGAGGGAATTCACTGTTGTAAAATTGTATATAGGACTATTGGTATTCCCTTATTTATTGGATCGCAGTGTTTGTGCAGAATGCACGGTTTCTGATCACTTCAACGCTTCATCTTTTACGTTCTTCACTACCATGTAACAACAATAAGGCATTGCGATTAGTTCTACTACAGTATCTTTCTATTCTAGGATTTGTACACCTTGGAACCATGCTCCATCCATCCTTCAAGACTCGAGGAGCCTAACAGTGAGCTTCTTAAAGCCGCTCCTAACCAAAAATAATTCAGTATCTTCCGCTAAAGGTACTAGACTAATCTACGAGTTATCCGAATGTACACCTCTGTAAAACCTAACCATAAAGCATAGATAATAGCCCAATGCAGCGAGGCTACCACCACCGAACTAATTCGTTATTGTAAAAGTGACTTGCCAAAGTCGACAAGTATCAGATGACGCCATAGAGAGTTTACGAAGAGCGGAGATGTTTTGCCAGTACGGAAACTAAGGCATTCAATTTTTCTAATCTGAACATCTCTAGGCAAAACCCCCTCCGAACCACTGTTCAGGATTAGCAGCGCCTTACAATGGTGGATGGCATCCCTGAAAAAAAAGAATAAGAAGAAAAACAACCTGTTAAACCAATCATTTCGAATTGGCACACATAGACGAGGACCAGCTCCCTATTGAGGCAAATATACAGCCTATGGCATAATTTTCTGTTCAGTTCAGTCAGACACATTTCAAGCATTCATGGCAAACTTATAAAAGATGGAAAGAGAATTCTGCTGTCCTATTTGGTTGCTGACATAAGAAAAATTAACTTTTTACCTCTGCTAATAAGCAAAACACCTATCTAATTGGTAGCATACAAAGATTCAGGGGGATCAGGAGTAAGCCATTACAAGACATGCAAATTAAAAGGAGAAAAAAAAAAGAAGAAGAAAAGCCTTGCCTTTAAATCAGTTAAGCTAAAAATCATCATTTATAATGACTGTAGAAGTCTTCAGCCGAATCCTATCTGCTGCGTATCATTCTCATTCGAAACATTGAATGGCACAAATGCGTCAAGACTGCGATACCAATCAAGAGAAGGGCTTTAAATTAAAGATAGAATCAGAAACTAAGTCTGTCAGTGGCTAATCAATTCAAAATGTGCTACCATTAACCGCATGGAGTTCAAAATACAAAGGAACCACATTACCTGCAATTCTGAGGAACAGTCCAAGATACCAAAGATGGCCCCTTCAATCTTGGTGGTAAAGCCATGTAACTTTTCCACTCTTTGAGCAATATCCTGAGATCGTGAAGTTTGGAATCCAGCCCAAAACAACAATTTGCATGCATAGTACAGACTTCATTTAGATCTTTACTAGGTTCACAAAAGCCACCAAAGTATGCAGTACTCAAGAACTTAATATTTATTCCAATATCTTGGACCAAAGTGTCATTCTTAATTTTGTTGAGAACATCCTGGTCATGTAGTCCGGGATATAATTCTCGTGACAGGTACCAAAGTTTGTAAAACTCAATAGTTTGGTTGTTTGACCGCACAAAATTGAAACCACCATTTGGTATGTTATCCAGATCATCAGAGTCGCCAATAAAATGATCACAAGCAATTTGAAAGTCTGCATCAGCGTAAAAATGTGGAAAAGGGTCCCGAAACCACATTATATCAGCATCCTGGAATTATAGGTGATCAAACACAGTGTTAGAAAATAGGTGAATATTCAAAAACAATAATATTTTGGTAATTAAAATGCCTAGGCACATCAAACTGGAAAAACTTTGCTTCGTCATTGTGCTAACCAACACAAGATTTTGAATATGAGCTCTAGACACTTCGGCTTCTTACAATTACAATTTACAAAATATCTAGAGGCCTTAGCAAAATAAAAAGAAATTAAGTAATGCTACCTTGAGAAGAAAGTATAATGAGGAGCAAATATCCCACATAGACAAGGGTAAAGAGTGAAGAGACAAAGATTACTGAGAGACAGTAGAAACATAAAATCCAAGACCAAATCTCCAGCTGCAAATAATAAAATTCACTCATCTAGATGGGACTCTTAAGATATAAACTTAGGAAACTATTTACAACACTAAGCAATTTAGTTTACTGATATTCAGCAAGCTAGTGATGACAAAAGCAGTTGCTGAATGCCCCAGCAATTGACAAACATAATATCAGCATAAAAATGGGAGAGTGGTTGCAATCACATGAAGAGCAAGAGAGAGAGAGAGAGTACCGTGAAAACAAAGTTGAATCCCATCTCTAGAACAGATTTCAGAAAATGAATCCTATTCCACATCATTTTCAAGTATTCTGGAGTCATAAAGTAGGCCTCTGTCGAAGAGTTGACTCCTTCAGTGATGAGAGCAAAGCAATGCATATGAATATCCAAGCAACGAGAATATGCTTTTTGATCCAATGCGAGTATCACCAAATGGTTCAAAAGCCTACGAGTTTGTACTCCAATTCTGAAGCTCTCTAGGAACAGATCAACGATCGAGTTTGGAGAAGCCCATGCTTCATTCAAGGTTGTTAAAATCACTGTTTTATCAGGCATCGAAGCTTGCGTCAAAACTCTTTCAAGACTATTGTTGTCTCGGTCCTACAATAGCGAGAGAGATCAACCAAAACGAGTCATTATCCCCAACATCACTGACAGGATAAGATGGAAAAACAAGCAAAATGTTCTTTCATGTGTGTGCACAACAAATGATTCAGATTATCTCATCAATCCATCCCTGATGATATCAGCCCTGTATTTCTTGCCAACAAAATAATCATTTATGTTTTTTGCGTTCAATCATGAAATTGCAGAACAAAATTTTACATGATGAATGGTCACAGAGACTGTAACTCACATCACTAGCTAGGAATGCATTGGAACAAAGTACTAAGATAAATAGTAAATACTACATTCGGATGACAAAGCAAATGTCCGAGAGAAAGGTAGTCAATAAAATCATCACAATAACATTTGCAACTCACCTGTAAATACACTTCCATACTTTTGTTAGCAAACAGGTTAATTACTCATGAAAAATTTCTATAATGACTAACAGAGTACAATTTCTTCCTATAAGTAAGAATAATTGTAAAATCAGCTCCCCTATAACTCTATTCAAATATTTTTTTTGGGGACAAAAAAAAAACATAATCTAACTAATATTCCGAAATCCTACTCCCAGGATCATGTTTTGAAACTTATGGAGCGAGCACAAGAAAACTTACAGTCCGACGAGAGTCGCTGATCAGAGCTACAGGAAGTGGATTCTGAAAGTGATAACTAGCCGGCAATTTGAGTCCAACAGAATCAACACCTCGGTAGAGCACAAAGCAAGAAAAAACGATGGCGGCTAGAAAAAGCGTAACGGTCATCACTCGCCCAAAAAGGACCGCCATTACGGAGGAATTCGCCGGGCAGTCAGGCTTCATTTCAGCGGGATGATTCGCCGCCAGCGCTGGGTGTGAGAGCGGGAGAAAAGAGGGAGAGAAGAAACGACGGCGTGGAAGTGAGGAAGGAAATTGGGGTATAACTGAATTCGGGGAGGACAACACCATCAGTGAAGAAAGATTTCAATGTGATTTGTCGGCACCGAGTTTTGAAAATCATAGTTCGTTACAGTGCGTGACTGTGTGTGTGTGTGAGAGAGAGAGAGAGAGTGAGAGAAAACGGGGAAATCTTTCGTTACGATTCTGAGAATTTGTGAGAGACGGTGGGAAACGGCAAAGATTTTCTTGTGCCGCGTGCGGAAAACCGAACTTTGTTTGCATTTTACAATTTTCCATTAATTACACCTCGTACTTCTTCAAATAAAAAAAAAATTAAGAATATTGTGGATTGATTAAAGTATTATGGGATGCAAAGAGTTGGTCATATACTCTATAAAATGCTTTTGAGTTATTTTGCTACATAATGTTTGACATAATTTAGTCTAAAATTTTGTTAATTTCTCCGTCCCAAATAATGGTCATGTTTGTAATTACGCATATTGGGAAGGAGAGAGTATTTTTGATATACTAATATTTTTCATTTTTAAAAGTTATAAGGTGATTTCTTTTATTTTTGTTTTAAAAATATTCAAAATATGAAGATAAGATTTCTGATGAACTTCCGTGGATAATTAGATCTTTTTCCGTAAGTACAAACCAGATTTTCATGACTGTGCTTTGCACAGCCCAGCCCAATTGAAATACTAAACCTGGGAAAAATACTAATGGGAAAAGACAAGGAAAAAAAAAAAGTAAAAATCGTAGAAGTTAATCAACATCAAGGAAACAAAAAATGTCAAGAAAGCTTTCGTTTCCATGTACGGTTTGGTGTTAGTAGTTAAAACAAGTCATTATAGTTGGGTGAAATGAGAATTAATCTGAATGTTAAATATAAATATATAACTATTCAACACCTCAGTGAAAGTTTAATAATACAAAACTACTTTATAGTACTATATGTATTTACCTTTGTTTAATAGTATCATAAATTAGAAAACTACTCCTTCCGTCCCATAATTATTGTCCAGTTTTACTAAAATGAAAGATTTTATTTTTTATCAAACTTAACTATATTTTACCTTAAACAACCGGATATACCCTTACATAAGTAATTGTTTAACTACTAAGATTTTATGGATAATATTTTTTACTAAGGACAAATGTGTAACTTGATCCAGAAAAAGTCAAATTTTACAATAAATTTGGGACAAAATTTTTTTGGGCAAAGTGGACAATAATTATGGGACGGAGGGAGTATTTTGTAAACTATTTTGAAATGGAAAAACTAACTACATATTGCTATATGAATGATTTTTACTATTGAGCATCATTACCCATTCACCTCTCACTTGGTAGAGAATTCAGAATGCCTTATATATGTCCCCAAAACAAATAATGTACATTGAACTTTTTCAAAAATTTTGTTACAATATCAGGGAAATGGAGTTGAAGATGCGGCCACACATCAGGTGCAGGCACATGAGCATCAACCTGAACATGAATGCACACGATTGGGACTGCCAACCTCAGCTAATCAGCAGCAGCTTCTGGAAGCTCCTCTAGCTGAATGTGGTCCCGAAGCTTGGAAGTTCTTTGACGCTGCCAACTGTAACAGACCACAAAGAGAATGTTACTGGAAACTTAATCATTCCAGCTCATCAATTCGAGTTGATCCAAGTTGTACATACTCCACAGCCGTCAATTTATGAAGAACATTTTGTAATTAGTTGGATTATGGCCGTTAGATTAAGACGCATAAGTTGTGAGTCTGTAAATTGCTGTGTTTAGATGCTAAGTAGGTTTAGTCTTCTGTATATATATAGATGAGGTAGCAACAGATTCATTTGTACAGAATATACCAACTCATCGTTTATGAAAAAAGAAGAGTTCTTCCCCAAATCGTGAGACCTAGCATTTATTACGTGTTTGATCAGATTGCTTGTTCCACAATCAAGATTCCATGCATTGATATCTTACCTATTCTCTAATGATAGTTCCTGATTTGATTGATGGTATCAGAGCAGGTTGATTAAGCTCTAAGATTCCGCTGCCAAATCGATGTGTAGATCATACGATTACTCTGATTAAGTTCGAGTTTATATCAAGAACTTTCTGATTACTGTATTTCTTGAGAATAAAACAAGGATTCGTGGATTTGTAAGTACAAGAATTTCACAGAAACATGGAGATTCCACTTGTTCGTGATGACAGGCGAGAAATTGAAGCGCTGATTGATGCTCAGCTGCAAGTACATGGATCAGAAAATCCATGCACACCTCTGATTTCTATTTTGCTGAATGAAAGAAATTGTTTGATCTGGAATGGTGCGATGTTATTAGCCCTGGAAGCAAAAATGAAGGACGAATTTGTGACAGGATTGTTGATGAAACCAGCGGTAACTCTCCATAGTTTAAGTGTTGGAAGCAAGCTAACAGCCTGGTATGTTCTTGGATCAAAAGCTCAACGTCACCAGAATTGGCTACTACTTTTGCTTTTATGTACGATGCAAGAGTTTTATGGAAGGATATAGAAGAGCAGTATGGAACCACTAATTTGCCTCAGTTGTTTGAAATAAAAAGAGAAATAGCCTTAACTAGGCAAGGGGATTCAACTGTGACTGCGTATTATGGAAAACTGAAGCAACTTTGGGATCATTATACACAGTTAAGACCTATACCTATGGTGGATAATGAACTAGGAGAATTGATGATTTCCAGAGAGTCAGAAAATAAAGGAAATGCAGTTTCTCATGAGATTGAATGATACGTATGAAAGAGAGAAGAGTAACATATTGTTCATTGATCCATTACCTCCTGTAAATCATATATACAACATGATTCTTACATCAGAGAAACAAAGGCAAGTCAGTGTAAGCATGATAGTGCCATCTAAACATTCAGTTATGATAGCGAGAATTCCTGATTGGCAGAAGAATACAGTGAATAAGCCAGGAGAAGCAAGGAGTACTAGTACTGGTTATCAGAAGAGGGACAAGAGTAATTTGTATTTTACTCATTGCCACAAGTACAAACATACAAAGGAAGAGTGTTTCAAGCTTCATGGAAAGCCTGATTGGTGGGAAGATTACATGAAGAAACTACAAATGAAAAATGGACCAAGTACATGAAAGTTTGGATCAGCTCACATGGTTTTAGTAGAAGACACTCCTTTGGACTTGACTCAGGATAAATAATGGAGGATCATGGGATCTGCAAATGGTCATATCCAATGCTATGCAAAGGGAAGTAGGAAGAATTCTGAAAGGAAAGATGCCTACAGAAGGAAATAGAGGAGGAGCTACAGTCAACTTTGCACATTTTCATGCATTTGCAGGTAGTTCTTGCTTAACTAAACTCAATGATTTTCCTACTGATTGTATTAAAGCTGGTTCTTGGATTTCTGATAGTGGAGCAACTAGGTATATGTGCATATATATCAAACTTATGATCAATGCTAAACTAGTCAAAGTATTCATACCTGTGTGACTTCCTGATTGTAGTATCAGTTCAGTATCTCATATTGGTGATGTTGTTCTTTCAGAAATAGTCACCTTAACCTCTTGTCTGCTTTTACCCAACTTTAAATATAATCTTCTCTCTGTGAAACAGTTAGCCAAAGTCAATAACTTCTATTTCAAATTATTTGCTGATTGTTGTCTGCTGCAGGACCTTAAAACAAACAAGGTTCTTGCAGCAGGGAAAGTTATCAAAGAGTTGTATGTCCTTGATCTATATTCATTTACACCAGAAGCCATTTTGCAGTCTCAAACTCAATTTGCAGCCTTTATGATACACATCAGAAATCCTGATATCACTAGAGCTATTTTAGCAGCCAACACTCATGTTCTTTCAGCTATTCCTTTTGATGTAATGCATCTTAGATTAGGTCATCCTTCTGAGAATGTAATACATCATATTTCACATTGTAACAAGAATGATTGCTTGACAAATAAATGTGAAGTCTGTCCTCTAGCTAAACAGACTAGACTAGCCTTTCCTAGAAGTACAATTCAAAGTAATAAGTGTTTTGATTTGTTACATATGGATGTATGGGGACCCTATAAACAATCTACTTTGGGTGGTTGTCATTTCTTCTTGATCATAATTGATGATTTTAGTCATTGTACTTGGGTTTTCCTGTTTAAATATATATCAGAAGTGCCTACTTTAATAGAGCATTTCTTTTCTTTGATCAAAAACCAGTTTCAAGCTTCAGTTAAAATCCTTAGAACAGACAATGGAACTGAGTTCCTGAACCAAACCTTGGCTGTTTTAACTTCCAAACTTGGAATAATTCATCAAACCAGTTGTCATTACACACCACAGCAGAATGGTGTTTTTGAAAGAAAGCACAGACATCTTCTGCAAGTAGGGAGAGCCTTATTGATTCAATCCAAACTACTAAAGTCTTTTTGGAGGAATTCTATTTTAACTGCCACATATCTCATAAATAGATTACCTAGTGAGCTTTTAGGCAGGGAAACACTTTATGAAAGACTTTATAATAAGCCACCAAATTTAGGACATCTCAGAGTTTTTGAATGTCTTGCTTTTACGGTCAATAACAGTCCTCAAAGAGATAAGTTTGATCCTAGATCCTTTAAAGGAATTTTTTTAGGGTATCCTAGTCATCAGAAGGGTTATAAAGTATACTGTCCATCTTTAAAAAAGACCATAGTATCCAGAGATGTTGTATTTTATGAGGATCAATTTCCAACCATACACGTGAATCAGGAAACACCTATTCTTCCTGTTAGTAACATACCAGATGCTGATCGATATTCCATTACTCAAACATCATCAGATGATTCTCATCCTTTTGATCATGAGCAGTCATCTAATTCTTCACCTGATCATGATATTTTCAATGATCACATGTCAGCCTCTTCTGAACCACCTCTAATGACATCTGTACAACCATCATCATCCTCTACTGAGGATTCCATACCTAGAAGAAGTATTAGAAATCGGCAGATGCCTTCATATCTCAAAGATTTTGAAACCACAGCTCCCATTTCCTTCACACACACACAGAATCCACTTGTTGATAATCCTGTCTGTGCACTTTCA